ATATAAGCGACAAGCTCCCAATACTAGAGCTTTTGTCGTTCTTCGAACCAATTTCATACGGCCAAAGCAACTGAGATTGTTTCTTATTATTCAAGCACGCGTGGATGGGTGCATCTAGACGGTGGAACTGTGACAGCAAGACAAATTTACATCATGCAGCATCATTTTCAGCAACAGTTCGTCATCACTAGTTGTTTACGGTATTTTTTACCAATCAAATTGGTCAAATAAGTTCAGAACGGAACGATTACATACTGCCATGGCAGAGGACAACGATGTGTTGCTGTCGGACCAGTCTCCATTCCCGCCGCTGCAATTGACATTCGAGGAGCAGCAGCACTGCCACGATCTCAGTCTACAATTGCTAGAGTGCACGCTACACAGCTACGACGAGCGGCTGGCAGGTATAACGCCTCGTCATCATGCGAACCTCGACAGCGCACGCTGGAAGCTGCAGAAGACGCAGGAGAATGCGTCGTTGTACTCTGAGCGTATTCGCCATGTTCGAGCAGATCTGCATCTTCCCGAGGACAGTTGGAATGACCCAACAGTACTCCTGATGGTCGGGAATATCCCTGGACCCCTGGACGAAGTCATGTTCGGCATGTCCATTCCTAGTTTTGAAGCTCTGAAAGTTCGAGTATCGACACTTGGAAATCAAGAAATCGGCGGCGCAATGCTCGCGAGACTCGTAGGCCCGACCGACGAGAAACCTTTTCAAAATTTGTCCATATTCTACATGGTGAGTCAATTACCGTGGTTGGTGAGTAAAGTGGTAAAACCCCGAGACTTCGTGCTGCTGTCGGCAAGTGGAGTGATTACTACAGCGGATGGTGAACGTATTGGATACGATTTATTGCAACCGGCACCGTTGTTACAGTGTCCGCCGCTGCCAAAGCCAATGATTCGCGGGAAGTTTATGTTTGGGGCTTTGTATCGGCAACAAGAAGACGGGAGTGTGGACGTGTATATCCAACAATACGTGGAGTCAATGGGGAACCTCATGGAGTCCTTCATTATTAGCTCGACATGGCAATCATTGCTGGGATTTTTTAGCTCGCCTTTACTAGCTGAACACAAGAAACTTCAGTGGTGTGTTGCCAACATGAAAAGTGCGCGACGACGAGGAATTGCGAATGAGCTGTCAAGAATCTCAATGAATTGTTCAATGTGCTCGGTGGTGTTTGGGCGGGCAGTTCGTAGTCGCAGCAATGACCAGAAAAACTGCGTACTTTGCTTAGCGTCTGTCTGCTCGAATTGCCGTGAAGAACGAGTTTTCAAGGAGTTGGCTCCACATTCCAAAAAGAAAAAGCTTTTGATCAAGAAACGACAAGTCTTCGTGTGTCGACCGTGTCTGGAATTCGTACAAAGACACAAAGCGGCGGATATCGCGAGATCTTATATCCAGGAACAATTAACGCCAGCAGCTTCAGATTCTAGTGGTGCAGGCACGTGGGGTCTGCTTTACAGTGATTCCATGCCTACTTGGTCGCCAACTAGATCGCTTTCGATGTCTAGCGAGTCATTTGAATGTTTTGGGTGGGACAGAGACCCTTAGCTGGAGGCGTGAACTGAATAATGTGAGACAGCATAACTTTGGTCCACATTTGTGTCGTTTGAATGCTGTAGCACTGGAAATAATCCATTTCGTGGCATGTACAGTGCTTAGATGCATACTACAGTAGTGTACGAGCCAAGACATTTAGTCTCTAGCGAAGCACCTTAGATAAGAAACTTCAGCGCTGGGCTTGTGAGGACGGACCCACTTGCAGATTCCAGACTGAAATTAGCCGAGCGGAAGCCGTGAGGGATGCTCACTCGCTGGTAGGCTTCATACGTTTCGTGAATGATCGTGTTCGAGTCGTTCTTGTTACTATACATGCTGAACGGGAGTCTGGTCATCAGACTGGGGCGTTCAGTACTGTTCACTCAACCCGACCGAGTTCTCATTCGTCAAGTAGCAGAAGAAAATGAGTTATAGATAATTAGGAGCCTATCTATCTTACAAGAGTCGACATGTAACGGAGCGCTAAAAGTATCCGTGAATGACAATCGAGTGTTGACCAAATGAGGTATTCATAGTGGTTTCGCTGATTCGCGCCAAGTTTGGTGGTGCTTTCGACGTGCGCTGAGAGCTTTGGTGTAGTATGGGGAGGGTCCGCAGCTTGGACAGCAGCTTGGTGGTCAGTGGGCCGCAGCTGAGTGAACGTGGCGTAATTTCGATCTCGACGCGGCGACTACTTTTCCTGGTGTGGATGAGCATTGGAGTGGCGCCGCTACTACTCCAAGCGAGAAGCTACCTTCGCTTCTTGACCCCACACAAGATTTCCAGAAGCCTTTTGCCTCCAGATATGGACGTTAAAAACACGACTGATCTACTTAAACATTGTCCGGTTGAAGGTTTATTCATCGCTGGTATCTGGTGGAATGTTGTACCAGCGCATTATTACCCCGCTGAGGATGGTAAACTTTGTCACTTTACTGTTCCACAGTACAATATTCACGGAAATTATTATCTGGGATTTAATACCACAAAGGCGTCAAGTACAACGCCATCAAGCTGCGTGAACGAAAGCTTCCCGTTTTCTCATTATTTTTACCACGGAAGTATCGGGTATTTCGCATTTTACGAAGAAGCCCGAGGGACTTACTGCGCTAAGGACAAAACTGCGTACGTTTTGGTGGGAGGCTTGGGGACGTACGACAGTAATGGGCCTTGGCTAACCTATGATCGAGGCAGCACTGAATACCGAGAATCGTATTGGTATGGCCTTAGTGGATCTGCGTGGATAGCTTACCGCATTTTGATGCTACGGAGAAGTTATATATCCTGCAAGCGATATGGAAAGCGGTGTGATCGGCTGTGCGAAAACCTTCGACTGAATGACGCGGTGGTGTATGTTCAAGAAAGTATGCGATTATCTGCCTACGATGCAAGAAATTATCACCGAGTAGCGCTGTTGTATTTGCTAGTGGAAGGACTTATGGGCGACCTCTTTTTGCTGATCGCACAAGAAGGAATCATCGGACGTTTGCAGTATATTTCACTGGGCTACAATTTATCCGGAGTGATGTCGATGCTGTTTGAAATGGTTGAAACGATGCACTGGATTGGAGAGAGAACGCAAAGTCTGATAAAAAGACTCTTGTTCAACTATGAAACGATGCTGCTTGGCGAATGTATATGTGCTGCAGCGATGCAGCACTATCTTACTGCTCTTAACCGCTCGAAGGGCTTCAAGCGCTCCGACTATGAAGCAAAACTAGTCTCACCTTACGTATGGAGTTTGGTTGGGCATGGTGTTATTGTGCTGGGCTGTGTTCTGGTTCTCGTCACCGTCCGATCCCTAGGAGCGATTATCTACATGCGAGTAAAATATGGCTGCTTTGCGGTTTTAATAACACCATGCTGCGTGGATTCGACACTGGGAATCCGCGGTAAACTCATCGTGTTAGGAGGATATGCGTTCGAAAACCGCAAACTTTACTACAGGCTCCAAACCTTAAAAGCATTCGGGATGATGAAAATGCAGGAGGAAGACGGAAGCGAGTTTTTAGTGCTCCACAAACTCTACTGGATAGCCATTCCGAGACGAGATTTGTTTGTAATTGGATCTGTAAACGGGAGAAAAGTTCAACCATGCCCTGAAAGACTCTGCAATGGAATCGTGAGCTCGTTCACCCAAGTTTTGGGCGGCGTAGTCGGTGAAGCTGGAAGCACAAGGTGGCATCGTGGGGCTTCTAGTAATAGAGTCGCACTTGCACCAGCGACAATCAAAGTCGGAAGTCCTCGTAATCAGTCTTCTCGTCAAGTAAATAGTACCCGGGAGCCGTCACCGACCAAAGTCGGCACTTTGGAGACATCTTAAAGAAGATTTCTACAAATTTTGGCCGTAAATAATAGAAGTATAGTATATTGGAGGTCTTCAAGCAGTCTTTGTCAAGTTCGCAGCATTTCAATTATCTCAAGCACTGAGGGGCGGTAGCTGTGGCACGAGTATCAACGCAGTACTTGCTGATACTTGCACCTTGGGCACCTACCACTACAACTAAGAAGTTTTGCACAAAGTTTCTCCCGCAATTCTTATTGCATAGATCGGGTACTAAGAAAAAACGAAGGTTTCACTTCATTTTAATTATGCAGTTTCTTCGACATAAATAGATAACTCGACCATCGAATTCGTCATTTCTTTTTTGTGTTGGAATGAGGCCGCATCTCGAAGCACCAACGATGACCAAGGTGAAGGCGCATATTATTCCGAGTCATGCGGCTGGACCAGGTCTACAAGCAACAACTGGTACCCGAGGATTTCAAATATCTTCTAGGAAAATGCTGCTTTTGGTGTGGCTGGTGATGGGAGTTTTACCGATGACTTTGCAGATCAGAAGCTACGCAAAGTTCGTAACGCCACACAAAATCACTGCGCGTTTAGTGGTCCCAGACGAGGGAATATCGGAAACATCAGATGTATGGAAATTTTGCCCCGTCAAGGAATGGTACGCGGCTGGAGTATATTGGAATATGATGCCAACACATTACTTTCAACGTGAAGATGGTATTCTATGCCACTACGTGATTCCTCAATACAACGTACACGGCAATTATTTCGTGGGTAACCAGACTACAATGCCCTTCCATACGAGTCCAGAAGACTGTGCAAATGAGAGTTACCCATTCGAGCATTACTTCTACCACGGCAGCATCGGGTTCTACTCGCTTTACGGTGAAGTAAAAGGAACTTATTGTCCCAAGTACGACACTGCGTATGTTCTTGTTGGTGGGTTGGGGACTTTTGATATTAACGGTCCTCCGTTAGCAAGCGATGACGGCGGTCACGGATATCGAAGATCGTATTGGTATGCTTTCGCTGTGGCGGTGTGGATTATAGTTCGCTGTTGGATACTCCGACGGAGTTATGTGGTTTGTAGCCGATTTGCTCGATCAAGCGATCATATTTACAAGACAATGGGGCTACAAGACGCAATGGTGTTCGTTCATGAAAGTATGCGGTTGTCTGCACACGGTGCGAATAATTATCACCGCTTGGGACTAGCCTATCTGTTGGTTGAAGGACTGATGAGCGATTTGTTTCTACTCACTACACAAGAAGGAATGCTCGGACGACTACAGTGTATTTCGTTGGGATACAACTTGGCAGGTATCATGTCGATGTTGTTTGAAATGATTGAAACGATGCACTGGCTCGGTGAAACAAATCGCTGTTTCTTGAGACGAGTGTTGTTTAACCATGAGACTGTATTAGTTGGTGAACTCTTGTGCGCTGCTGCAATGCAATACTACGTTTCGTCGTTGAATCGATCAAGCCTTAAGGAATGGCGACCAGCAGCGGAGGAAGTGTCATACTACGTGATGAGTCTGGCTGGGCATGGAATCATTGTTGTTGGCTGCGTGCTGGTCATTATTTGTTCTCGAGTAATTGGAGCGGTCGGCTTCGTGCGATGGAAATTCGGCTCTCTGGCCCCCCTATCGGCACCTTGCTGTGTGGACACCGTTTTGGGTGTGCGAAGCAAGTTGATACTGCTGGGGGGATACGCTTGGGACAATGGAAACTTGTACTATAAAATATGCACTCTGAGGGCGTTCGGTCTACTAAAAGTTGTAGAGGAGGATGGAAAAGAATATCTCGCTATTCACAAACTGCACTGGTTTGCAATACCGAAAGATTATGTAGTCGTAATAGGATCTTTGCTCGGTTCCAAAGTCGTCCCGTGCGATGAGCGCCCAAGCGTTGGAACTATGAGCGCTTTCGGACGAATGATCGGGGGAAAGGCTAGTGACACAGGGAATCGCCAACGAATAGCAGGTACTGCACGATGTATGCACTGTTCCACAGTACCGATATTTACACTTTTGCTCTGCTTGATTTGTAGTCATGCCGCACACAGCTTGGGATAATAACTCGTTTATGAGATAATTCTCGCCAGTTATTTTCTTCGTTGGAATTTAATAACACGAACCGAGAACCATCACTAATGGTGACTTCTACCCAGCCCACTGCGAAATATTGAAACAAAAATTTGTTGGTATTAATATACCCGGTATTTGATGCTTTTATGGGAGTCACGACCGTTGGTTCAAAACGGACCCCAACCTATTTTCTCGTCATCGGATTCGTGTAGTGGGGGTTCCATGTAAATTAATAGACCAGTAGCGCCGGACGCACAATTTCGTTTTCTCGTCGTTTGCTGCAGCGATGATGGCAGACAAGTACTCGATGCAAGAAAGAGGGGAACGTAAAAAACTTTCAGCAACGAGAATATACGTCTTAGTTTGGATGGCTGTGGGATTAGGCCCTCTGTTTCTCCAGATTAAGGGTTACGTGCAATTCGTGACTCCGCACAAGATTTCACAAAACTTGATCACACCGGTTGCTGGAGACAAAAAGGATGCGGACCTGCACAAAGCGTGCCCTGTAAACGAACTGTTCATGGCTGGAGCGTATTGGAACGTCGCACCTACGCACTACTACTACGTCACAGATGGAGTTCTCTGTCACTTCGTCATGCCGCAGTACAATCTCCACGGTAACTATTTTTTGGGGAATACAACTGTCGAACCATATACAACTACACCAGCTAGCTGTTCAAACCACAGCTTTGCATTTGCCAACTACTTTTACCACGGAAGTATCGGATACTATTCATTCTACGCCGAAGGTGAAGGCACATTCTGTTTCTTGGACAACACAGCTTATGACATTGTGAAAGGCGTCGGGACACTGGATATCAATGGAGCTCCTCTGGCTAATGACAAAGGTCAAATTGGATATTTAAAATCGTACTGGTATGCGCTTGCAGGCTCGACGTTAGTTCTTATTCGCTGCTGGGTTCTTAGAAGAAGTTATATTTCCTGTAAGCGATTTGCCAAACATTGCGATGAAATGTCCGAGCCCGTTCGCTTCCAGGATGCGTTTGTGTATGTCCAAGAGAGCATGAGATTATCAGCACATGGAGCGAACAATTACCAGCGCGGTATACTGCTGTTCTTACTGCTTGATCAGGGACTTATGAGCGATCTCTTTCTTCTAATCACTCAGGAAGGACTGGTTGGTCGGATCCAATGTATTTCGCTCGGATACAACTTAGCTGGACTCATGTCAATGCTGTTCGAGATGGTTGAATCGATGAATTGGATATCGGAGAAGGCTCGAGTTCTTGTAAAGCGGCTACTGTTCAACTATGAAACAGCGTTAATAGGAGAACTTATCACTGCGGCAGTGATGCAGTACTATTTGACAACGTTGAACCGATCGGGTCTTCGCGACACCGAATCGGAAGCAGAGACAGTATCATATTACGTCATGAGTTTAGTGGGTCACGGAATTATCGCATTGGGATGTGTCTTTGTCATCGTTTGCACTCGATCGCTTGGAGCTGTTGCATTTGTCTTGTGGAGATTTGGCACTTTGCAAGTATTTTTCAAGCCGTGCAGTGTCGATGCGACACTAGGAGTGAGGTATAAGCTGATCTTTCTCAATGGATATATTTGGGAGAATGGAAAGCTGTTCTATAAGGTTAGCTCGCTGAAAGCGTTTGGTCTTTTGAGAATGGTAGAGGGAGATGGCAGCGAGTTCCTCGTTTACACGAAACTACGATGGAGAGCTATTCCCCGTAACTATCTATACGTCTGTGGCAGAGTATTAAATGAAAATGTTAGGCCATGTGATGAGCGCCCTTGCTCAGGTATTGTTACTCTTTTCGATCGGGCACTTGGCGGGGATATTGAAGATATTCATTTAAACCAGAGTCGACGAGTTTCAGGTAAGAATGGCACGAGCACCAACTTTAAGTATCTCACAAGTGACATTTTTATCAAATCTACTTTTTACTGATACACTCGTCTTCAGGATGTATCGCCAAAAGTGTTCAGCCTCGTACTCACGTCATTGACTTTGGAAGCACAAACGTGCAGGATAGCTAACCTCGAAACAGTAGATATCTTGGATCATCGTTTACCTTGGACGATCCCTTTGCTTTGACGAGACTTCGCAGGTAATCAGAGTATGTATACTTCCATTTCTTGATCACTTTCGCAACTAGAACCGGCTAAATGGTTGTAAGTAATTCTTCGAGAATTAAGCTTGCAGAAAAAATGAGAAGGGATTACTCCAGCGAAAAGGTAACACCGTGTTAGGGACGCTGCTTCTTGTTACTTTTTTACTGAGCTTGAAGTCTATGAAGACGCCTTTGTCTTGAACGAATATCAAAGCACTCAATCTTTTGCTGCCGACTCCATGTCTTCCACAAGTCGCGAGCCGTGCTTCTTCGTAAGCCTCGCAGTGAGCATTTCCTTGAAATCGTTCATGATAGCGTTTTCACGCTGCTGCTTTTCCTCGAAGTTGATAAGCGCAAGGGCACGCTTCTCTTCAGCAGTGTACACTTGGTTCTCCTTTCGGATACGTACTGCATTCATGCGTTTGTGACGACTACCGCTCATCACGTAGCCCAAATTTTCCAGGTTCTCGATCTCCTCACCGTTCCAGCCGACTTCACCACGACGTGGAATACGCATGTTCTTCTGCACGAATTGCGCGATAGCTGCACCCTCACCAGGCAACAGTGCCTTACCGTAGTTCATCGACGACGCGGCCGACGTCTCATCAGCTGCTACCAGAGGTTTCGGTCCAATCTCCTCGTCGTCTTCCTCTTCCTTGTGTGAGCCTTGCACAGCTTCTTTAAACTTGGCTGCTTCCCTCTTCTCGTTCTCATCCAGTTCGCTCATGCTGTCTCCAGTATCGACACTTATTTTCCTCTCTTTTTCCCTCTCCGAAGCCACCGATGCATCAGATTCGCTGCCACTGCGACTGTCATCGCTCTCACTGTCGCTGTACGAGCGTCGACGTCGCTTGCGTCTGCTCTTGCTCTCCTTCTTGTGTTTTTTGCTCTTCTTAGAGCTTTTTCTCTTGTGAGAGCGACGTGAAGACTTGGCTTTCTTCTTGCTTTTTCTACGTCGACGTCGCTCTTCCTTACTGTCGGAGCGAGAAACATCCGATAAAGATCTAGACCGCGACCTAGAAGGTGATCTGGAAAACGATCTGGATCTGGATCTGGACGGGGATGGTGTGTGTTCTCTCTTCTTCTCCTTCTTGACCTTCTTCTGCATGGGTGGGGGACTGGGGATGCCTGCCCAGATACTGAAATCGATGCTGTCTCGCTGTCTCTTCCTCTCCTCGAAAAAGTCGTCGGTCTGGTCATTAGCACTGTATCGACCTCTCCCTCGGCCACCTCCACCCTTAAATCCGCTGGGTCCGCTGGATGGCCCGTAGCGCCCCATCACCTCGTGCTCGTGGTCCCTGTGGTAACTCGACGATCTTGGACGCCCTCGACGCGGAGAACGAGAGCGCGACGGAGAGCGCCGATTGTTGCTGCGACTGCGCCGACGTCTTGAGTCTCTGTATGAAGTACGGCTACGACTGCGACTACGTCGAGGTGACGGACTCCGGTAGCGCCGGCGCGGACTAGAGCTCCGCCCCATGCTTGTATTCCAATGGCTTCCGTGACGATAGCAGGATTTCTTCATATCATCTTTAACAGGTAAAGTTTTACGTAAGTTTCATACAGGTTTGGACAAAAATGTTATTGCTGCATACGTGAAGCTGCTGCTACTTCAGGCGAGCATCGACTGAAGCGTGTCGATACGTGCGAAGTACTCCTTCGTGACCTTGTTCGCGATAGCCTTGCGAAGCCGCTTGACCTCGTCGTCGCCACGAATATCGTCCAAGAACGACAGCACAGCCTCGAATTCGTGCTCGATGCCTTGTGAAGTGGCGAGGGCTTTCAACCTGGTAATTTGCGGTACCTTGCGCGCAGACTTCGTAGCTGCGGGTGCCACAACTTCCTCTCCTCTCTCTTCCTTTTCAAGACGCTCCAGCTCGGCGTCCACGTCGTACGAGTCCCATTTGGTCTTGAGCTTGCTCCCTTGTGAGTCGAAGTGGTAGTCTGCAATAGCGCAAATGTGTTATGAATGGTCACAGCAGACAAGAAAATCGAGCCTATTCAGAAGGCACGAACTTACAGGAGTTCAGTGTGGAATTGGCAGCGGGGTTTTCCTCTTCGATCTCACACGCCTCTTTCTTGGTCTCGTACTCAATCAGTTCCTTCACTTGGTTTTCCAAGTGCATCAAACGCACTGAAACTTCCGTCGCAACAAGCTCTACCTTTCGCAGTAGCTTGATGGACTCGCGACGCTCGTTCAGCTTACTGAGTCGATGCGTGCCGCACATTCACGCCAAGAGCTCCGTTAGTTGCTAACACAAGTATTTTGAACTACAATCGCGACAATTGCTAGAAAGCTACAATGTAATTCAGATTGCATACCTGTATCGTTGGTATTGCCAGTAAGCAAGCGGCACTGCCACTAGCGCGGCAGTCGTTGCCGCCAGTTGCCACACTCGGTTCGACATTTTCCCTGAAATGACAGGCAAAACCGTTAAGTTCGATACGAGAACAGTTAAATTCGATCGTACTTACGCCAACATCGTATTTCTTCCAGCCGTTAAGAAACGAAACGCGTTTCTAAAGACCCGGCGCCGCGTTCACTATGGGGAAGAAGACCAACTGGAGTACGACTGAGGACCAGACCCTGTGCCGAGTATGGCTGACCGCTAGTGATCTGCAGCTACAGGGCGGGGACCATAAGGCGTCCAACTTTTGGAATATGGTGCGCGAGCTATTCCACCAGGAGATGGAGACGGCGGTGGAGCGTCCACTCAACGGACTTAAGGTGCGCTGGACGCGCATCAACCGCGACTCGCAGAAGTTCGCAGCAATCTTCAGCGAAATCCAGAGCAAGGGATTAAAGCAAGCGGAGGAGAATGGCGGTGAATCTGGCGATGCTGCCGCTGTGGCGCTGCTAACGGAGCAACAGTGGATTGACGAGGCCAAGGACGCGTTTCACCGCTACTACAACACTAAATTCTCCTTTGAGGGTTGCTGGAAGCAGTTACGCTACTCCACCAAGTGGCTGCAACTCTTCGCCGACTCAAGAAGCAATCCCGTAGTGATAGTGAACTCCATGCCAACGTCGACAGTTGTGACGGAGGAGGTCAACGTTGCACAGACACCATCCTCGACCGCCAGCGAGGAGGAGGAGAACACCACAACGGATAATGGTAGTGCTACAGCCCCAGCCCCTACTGCTGCTGTGCCAACTTCGTCGCCTCGCTCCAATGATACCTCACCTTCTTCCGTCGTTGCTGCAGCCGCCGTTGCTGCAGTAAGTCAGGCTTCAACAGAGGCAAACACTTTTGCTATCCCTCTTAATAAACGACGAGCAGATGCGCTGGAAGCGTCCGCCCAGGTCCCGAGCCAGCAATTGCAAGGTCTGACTGCCACGTTGATCGAAGAGCTCAAGCGCCAGAATGATTTACTTGAAGATCAGAACGCTATTGCGTTGCTCAAGGTTAATGGCGAGGCGGTCCCAGAGGAGGCCCGAGACTGCTACGAATTGCTACGAACCCGCTACCTGAAGAAAGCACGCACCAACGACACATATAGCAGCAACGGAAGAACCAGCACCCTTGTGTAGTTGCAGGGTGGACCTTGCCTAACCTATAGTTTCATACTACGGATTTTTGAGCACTTTCATTGGTCAATCCTAGCAATTAATTCGAAAATCGAGGTCGATGGAGCCGAAGGACGTTGCGGACGCCGTGACAGATATCCGACAATTTTGGGGATCGAGGCACGGCTACACGGATGAGGAATTGTTTGCCAGAGCTAAATGCCAATGGGAGAGCTTCGGGAGGTCCGACGACGCTGCTAAAGAGTTCGTGCTACAAGTGGTAGCCTGTCAACTGGAGGAGCAGCTTCTGTTGTGGTTGCTACAGCCTCATGCTGCTGACACTGCAGAAGATATCCAAGTATTGTTAACTGTTTGCAAAGATCCGTATTTTATAGCGGATGGGTTGGAGTTGCTGAAGCCAATGCTAGATGCGTTGTTATTGGCAGCGAGTGTTCGAGCTGCAGCTTGTGATCGAAATGGCAAGAACCGAGCGCAACGAATGGCTGAGATTCTGGACATGATGATAGGAAAAGCGTTGACAAGGAGCAAGGCTAAGAGTGTTTTAAGAACATTGCAAAAGAGCGAGTCGAGCGAGGATGATGATACTTGGACACGGTTTCTGGAGCTGCCTAATGTACTGGACCCTCGAGTGTTCAATTCACGAAGTGGTCGCGATTTTATGGATGCAACGAAACAAATCGTTGCATTGCAGCAAGCTGAGCTAGCTGTTGTGCAGGGAACAGTTGATGGGGTGGGGCTAGATGATGGCAATCAGATCCCAACTGCCGATATTTTATGGGATCTTATGGTGCAAATTGTGGGTTTGATAAAAGCGAATGCAGATTCGAGTAAAGACACCGAGGAAGGTACTGCTGGTGTAGTTAATCCTTCGCTGTGTTTCGTGGCAGGTGCAGATTTGGAGGGTTATTTGAAAGCGAAGGCATCTGTTGCTGTACCCCGCGTCAACGATGCCTCAGATCCTGAAATTGGCGTTGATATCGACGATATCGAGCTGTCAGCTGTTGAGCAGCTCACAAACGATTGGATTTCGTCAAATGGAGAGTCCTTGTTCTCGAAGGACATACTTGAAAAAGTGTACGCCGAGTTGTTGGCATTGAGAAATCTTGACATTATCTCGATCCAGACATCGTTCCTCCTGGGCACGCAGATGCGTGTCAAACGCTGCTTCATTGACCGCTGCGATTCAATGAAAGATGAATTCGAGCGACGGATCAGAAGGATATTTAACCGTCTCACTGACAAAAGCCAAGTTTTGGAGCATGTTGAGGGATTAGTTGTTTTGGCTGCATTTTGTCCTGGTCAAGTTGTTCGGCAATGTATTCGCGGCGCTCACACTGACATACTACACCACCATTTGTACATAAAGGTGCTATGTGCATGTCCGCTGTTACTGGATTGGAAGGGGGAAACTCAAGACGAGACAGACACTTTGCTGATGCGTGAATTGCGTCAGTCATTACTTGATATTTCTAGCACCCAGAGCAACTTTGATCGAGAAAGTCAGAATGTGCTCTCATTTTCCCTGTCTCTTGTTGGGATCGATAGCGATTCAACTCCAAAGCGGGATGTTTCAGCAATGACAATAACCCAACTTCTCGATGGAGTGACCAAAGCGTGCTTTTGCACCGGTCTGAGTATGGAAATGCAGCTGAATCTGCTCGCTCTCACCCGGCAGTTATTCCAGCGCATTGTGGTGGCCAGTGGTGGTTTAGATATCGATCCTGCCGTCTTGAAGGTTATATTCGATCTGGTTTTCGAAGCTCTTTGCTCTCCTAATGTTAGTGATCTTAGGTTCGCGGTTATCGCCCGTGAGAAATTGCTGCTGTTACTCAAAAACACCATGGAGTTGATGTCTGATCCTGTGTCGATGATCAAGCTCGATAAGTTGAATACTCCGCTCAATCCGTCATTGTGGACACTTATCAGCCTTTTCAACAATGATTTTGGCAACGATGAGCTCTGCAAAGGGTTGAGAGATGTGGCAGCAGTTGAAGCTTATATGCAGGAAAGCTCGATGGCTAGTTTGTCATTACCGCGTGTAATTTCTGGTATCCAAGTGTTGCTTTGGGGGTTACTCTGGAGTTCAATGCTAACAGAAAATATGTCTGTGGAGTCTACTAAGGCTGAAACTTGGAGACTGTTGGACTCAATTGCTGAATATGAGAGCTTTCCAGAATCAGACTCGACAGTGCAAACAATCAAAGGCAATCTCCTGGTCCAATCTGCAGTCGCAGAAATGATGCTCGAGTGTGGAAGCGATCTTTTCCAAGCTCTGCACTGCAACGTCATTCCGTACCTACTGGAATATGAGCCAACTGAAATTTCGCAGGAAGAGAGGCTTACTATTCCCAATTGGGCTGCTGGGAGGTTGTCCGAGCTACGAGATTTTGATTTGCAAATATCGTGTCGACCAATGCCGACCCACTCGATAATGCGCTATGTTGCAAAATGCTGGGGTCTCTCTGGGGCCGCTAACATCCAACTAGCTGCTCCATCCAATGTACTGTTAGTTGGATCTCTCAGTCATGTACTAACAGGCCTCGACCAAGCTATTGCGTCTTCCCAGAAATCACTATCAGAAAATTTGTTCTGTATCCAATGGCTATGTATCCTGGTGTCGACCGCAAGTGAACTGCATTTGGACACGCTTTCTACCTGGCCTGCCGTTCGGACACAACTGGCGCTGTCACTCGTTCGTTTATTGCACCAGCTTGCCCAATTGAGGGAAATATCAACGGCTGAAGCACATTTCAGTCAGAATTTCGTAGCAGCATGGCTGGCATATCTGCCTGCTGGCCAATTCGATCAGGTTTTCAATTATCTAGCCACCAGGACAAACAAGTAAATGTAATATTGAACATGAAAGCGCTTCTCTTTGTTCACATGTTCGGAGGAGGGATTTCTACAAGCGCAAACAACTTAAGCGCACATTTCGTCCACAATGTGGTTCGACAGAATGTGGTGAGGGTCAAGCTCATCGCGAGCCTTCTTGAACTTGTTGAGCGGGTATCTCTTGTTCAGACGATCGCGGATCTTCTTGCGTTCGGCAGCATCTTCGGGCCACTCGATCTTAGCCCAGTGTTCCGTTGCTCCGAACGGCTCCATGAAGTCGCGGTACATGGCGTAAAACTCCATGAAGCGGTCCTTGATGGCCGTACGAATCTTCTTCTCCGCCGTTGGCAAGTACAGGATGACACCCACCCAAGAGAAGATCTGGTCAGGGTTCGGAGACGATGCAGGGCTCATCAAGGAATTGCTGCGGGCCGACCAGCGCTGCTCGATCGGCGAGTGTGCCGGGATGTCCTCCTCGTCAATACGCTTGAGAAGTTTCTCCATAAAGTCAAGCTCCAGCGTACCAGCGGTTGGGAACGAGACCTCCTCCACGAGCTGCTGGCCACCGCAGTCGAAGCCAATGATGTCATCCGAGTATGCCACTCGGTAACCCTCGCTAAGCTTCCAGAACTGCTTTTCCACCTCGTTCACACGAATGACGTGCTGCTTGTCGAGCGGGTTAATCTCAAGTAGTTTGTCACGCATCTTCGTAAAGCTCCAGTCAAGATAGTCCGGCTCGGGATTGCCGTTGGTCAGCTCCAGATACAGCTTGCGAGGGGCCTTCATGCGCACCTCGTCACTGTTCTGCACTGGTGGGAAGCGATTCTCGTTGAGTGGTTCGTCTTCTTGAGCGCGACGACACTGCACCACAACCACGGCGTCAGTGTACGGGATCCACATGTAGCGCAAGTGCTGGAACTCGACGAGCCACCGGTTGTGGTTCTTGCGGATCTCGTCCACCGTCATTACTGTGGTCTTTTCAATCAGCTTGTGCATGGGCACACACTGCAGCGTGACTTTGGTCACCACACCGAGCGCTCCTAAGCCACACTTGGCGAGCTGGAAGAGCTCCGGGTTCTGCGTGGCACTGAGGGTCATCTTGCCCTTGGCAGGAGTGACGATCTCCATCTCAACGATCTGATCATCAATTGGAGGAATACCTGCGCCCGTGCCGTGGCATCCAGCCTGGCAGATGCCGCCCACCTGCTGGTCACGGATGGAAGCCACGTTCTGCATGGTCATGCCGTATGCGCGGAGCTTGTCCAGCAGCTCTCCGACGATCACACCGGTCTCCACCGTCACTTGAAGCTTCTCCTTATCCACTTTGAGGATCTTATCAAACAGTGCTAGTGTCATAAGCGCCTCATTAGCGTCACCGTTGCCAGCTGCCTTGCCCGAGAAGCCCAAGCCGTTGGGAGAGACACCAGCGCCCATGCATCGCAGCTTTTGCTTCTTGTTGTGGTACGTCTGCAGAAGCTTCTCCACTTCGTCCACCGTCTCAGGGACGTAGAAGTTCTTGGGACGGCACTCGTGCGTAGCCGACCAGTTAATGAACTCGTGGTGGTCCTCGTTCATCGTGGCATCCGAGAGCCCCACGGCAGCCAGAGCTGTGCCGGCAGCAAGAGCTGCAGTCCACTTGAAAGATCCCCGAGAGGAAACCCGTTGCTGTCCAGCAGTACGAGCAGAGTGTAGACTGGCTGTCTGCACAGCGCCGAGTTGGCGAGCGGCATGGGAGCGCAGCGCGCGGGCAAGCGTAATAGGCTTCAGCATTGCGGTGCAAGTTTGTAAATGAGCCGAAATGTGACGAATTGCGATGAAAATTTGATTAGGTAAACGCGAATTTACTGGTTATGCACGAATCAGATCATTGGAAAACACGTGCATCTGAATTTTCAGCCTACCGCTGTCAAACACGTCTACTTTCACTACAGCTGGAAGATCGCTGTCTACAGCTTCCTGCTCATACGATGGGAAGGCAACAGCATCTGCTTCAGCGATCGTGTGGATCCTTTACAGCGGCTACGATCTCACGCGCTCATGGATTCCATTCGAGCGATCCTTTTGAATGACGCTTTACACGGGGCAGTTGGTCTGGATGAACTTGACAGCCGCGTGCCAGGCCTTCATGACGGCCGTCTTGGTGGCGGCGTTGTTCATGTCGCCGCGGTGCACCCAGCCGTGGTTCTGGTCAGCGAACAGCAGCACATCCGACTTGGCGCTGATGTCTTCACGGGACTTGAAGATCTTGTGCACGCTGCCGTCCGGCTTGACGAAGTCCGGGTCATCACCGGCAGCCATCAGCAGTTGCGGAACCTTGACGGCCGCAGCGAGCTTGTCGACAGCACCGTCGCCCTTGAGCATGTTCTCGACGATCCACGTGGGGTGGAATGACACGTGGCCTACCACGACCGGGTCGGCCTGCGTGGTCTGCGTGGCACCCACCCACGAGCCCCAGCACATACCGTAACTGGCGATGCGCTCGGCGCCAACCTCGTTCTTGAGGTAGTTGACGGCGTCTTGGATACGTGGGCCGAACTGCTCTTCGAACGTGTACTTCTTGAACCAGTCGACGAGACCGTTCGTATCGGTGAGGTAGTCGCCGTCCGTGAGGTCCACGACAACTACAGCGTAGCCGAGCTTGCCCAGCGTGTCGGCGTCCGCCTTGGTGCGGCCGCTGTCCAGGCCGTAGATGTCCGGGTAAGCGATGACACCAGCCTTGGAGGAAGCAGGGCCCGTCACGTAGATATTGGTGTTGCCGGCCTTCTTCATCACACCGATGTGGTCGGCCGCATCGCGGGCAGGCTCAGCAGTGACGGGACAGCAGCTCATTGGAGATAGGAGAAGAAGAGTCTTCAGCACTTCGAGGCAGATCTAAGAATGACATGCATGGGAAAAGTGTGTGTCGTTTCTGGTGGTGTGATTGGGTAAGTGGGAGGGTTCAATATTTCTGAATTCATGTCACTTGACTTGTAGTTTGTAAGTGAAATGTCTAATTTCTGAACCCGTATAAGTGTCCTCATCACTTCAACTGCCACAATGGGCTCCGTCCTGAGCAAGGCTCCTGTGCGGGCATCTACCACAACATCAACGACCACCAAGGGTGTCTACGCTCCGTCACCCCCCTCCAACTCGCGCGCGGTGGTCCCTGGATCCTCCGACGAGCAGTTGGACTTCGAAGAGGAGCTGGAAGCCAAGAGGTCTATCGTGTCTTATTACTGACTCACTGCTCAAATTCTGACGCTTACTTTACTATTTTGCTGTCTGCTTAGAGAGGAGGAAATTGCAGAGAAGCAGAAGGCGGCGGTGGCACACGTCGTTGAGAACCTCTTCCCGTATGCACCTGTGACAGTACAGACGCAAAAGTATCCGAGTACGAGCCCAAAAGCAGGCCAGTCTTACCTCTGGATCACAGTTGATGAGGCTGAAATCAAGCGAAGAGGAGGTGGAGAGAGTGCCATACGCTATCCTGTGGGCGCAGCAGTCGATAAAAACGGCAATGTGTTTGTATCGGAAGCAGGGAGCACGCCAAAAGCCAACTCAAAAGATTCTACCACTCCGTACAAAATTTCAGCAGAAAACATCATGAACTTTGTGACGAACAAGAATCCTCCACCAATGTTGAAACCGCCAAGACTGGTAGAAGCGCAGCAAACAGAGCTGGTTGTGAAATGGAAGAAGTCGACGGACTCAACTGTTGATCGCTATGAAGTGCAATACCGTCGTTCTGATAGCCCATACAATGCATGGGCAGGGCTAGCCGTAGTCACAGCCTGGAAACACGTCAGCTTGAGCGGTGTGAAGTGCCATACCCCGTTTGAGTTCCGGGTCCGTGCACGAAATCCTGGAGGATGGAATGATTACAGTGATGCAAGTGAGGTTTTCTGGACGCTGCCTGGTCCTCCAGACGTTCCTCGACAACCTATAGCTGGTACTGTTTCCAATACGTATGCAAGTATCTTTTGGTTTCCTGTCAAAGCCAATGGAGCTCCACCAGTTATTTATTCTCTTGAGATGAGAGAAAGTGGTGGGGGCCAACAATCGTCTTTTCTTCAGGTATATGAGGGAACTGGAACTGGGTTTGTTGTTGGCGGACTCACTCCAAAAACAACGTACACGTTTCGTATTCAGGCGTCCAATAGTGTTGGAGCTACTGGGTTTGTTGAAAGTAAACTTGTCAAAACAATGGCTTACGGTAAGCCGGAAATTGTGGAACTTACGAGTGCAGAGAAAACTGCAGCGTATGATCGTTGGGTGCAATGCTGGGATCCCAAAACAGAGCAAGTGTTTTACTTTAATAAATTTACAAGCCAGCGGGTAATTGAGGAACCACCGGAGCTTGCTGTTGTAAGAGAGGAGAAGGGTCTTATAAATATTGAAGAAACACCAGAAATGGTATTCAGGCGCAAGCGATTTCGTTTTCACCGTGAAATCCGCCAAAGTATGCAGGGTCTTAACTTTGGCAGCATTATGAAGATTGAGCTCCAGCGCGAGTCTATGTTTGAAGGAACAATGAAGTACTTCCAGTCTCTCAAGAAGGCTGATCTGGTTGCCAAACCTAAGATTTCATTTGAAAATGAACCAGGAATTGACTCGGGTGGACTGTCAAAGGACTGGTTTCTGCAAGTGTCGAAGATGGCTACCCACAAAGATCGAAGGTTGTTTAAAGTGTGCGATGAAGGACTATTTACAGTTGATATCTCGTCGTCGGAAGTCCCAAACTTTGCCCAGCAGTATAAGTTTCTGGGTAAATTCATTGCAAAGGCGATATTTGACAGACAAACGCTGGATTTGCCTTTATGCAACGTATTTTACAAGCACTTACTGCTAATACCTACAGGAATGGATGATCTTCAACAAATGGATTCACAGTATCATAAATCGTTGGTATGGATGCTTGAAAACGACATTGAAAACGTGATCGATGAGACCTTCAGTGTGGAGATGGAAGGTGGAAAGAAGCCTGCCATCGTGGATCTAAAGGAGAACGGCAGGGATACTCCAGTTACTGACGTCAACAAGCAAGAGTACGTGGATCTGGTGGTGCAGTGGCGTACACAGTTTGGTGCTCAAGCGCAAATGGATGCTTTAGTTCAGGGTTTCACCACCCTCATTCCTCTGTCCGCTATCAAAACCTTCGATTTGGTGGAGTTAAAACTGCTAGTGAACGGGAAACCAACGATTGATGTAGAAGAGCTCCGCTCCTGTACTGTCTTCCAAGGTGGCTTCGATGAGCACTCACAAGTTGTACTCTGGCTATGGCAGGCTTTGCGTGAATTCACAATCGAATTACGTGGCCAGTTTCTAAAATTTATGACAGGTACGAACAAGATTCCGCTCGATGGCTTTGAGCCTCCGTTAAACTTGACCAAGTCAGACCTTGACCCCCAGGCACTGCCACGAACGCATACATGTTTCAATCAACTCGTACTTCCTGAATATACTAGCTACGAAACACTTGTCGAGAAGGTTACGTTTGCAATCAACAATGCTGAAGGCTTTGAGCTTTCTTAAAGTCACCAATGACACGAAAAAAACGCTTTGGATTGCCACTTATGTGTCTTACAAACCGTCTGTACAAGTTTGGGTTGCACCAGTTAGCTAAAGTCGATTCCCTGGGCAAGCGGAAGCTCCTTGCTATAGTTAATGGTGCACGTCGAACGACGCATGTACTGTTTCCATGCGTCACTACCAGACTCGCGACCACCACCAGTCTCCTTCTCGCCACCGAAAGCTCCACCAATCTCAGCACCGCTAGGTCCGATGTTGATGTTCACAATGCCACAGTCCGATCCCAGAGGTCCTGTCCACTTGAAAATTGCTGCCTGGTTCTTCGTGAACAGAGACGACGACAAGCCTTGTGGAACAGCGTTGTTCTTCTCGATCGCCTCCTCAAGAGTCTTGAACTTCAGCGCATACAGGATTGGTGCAAAAATTTCCTTCTGGACGATCTCAGCATCGTGGGCGATGGAAACGATAGTCGGCTCCACGAAGTGGCCCTCGCCTTCGATCTTCTTGCCACCAGTCAGAATCTGCACAACAAACAAGGAATGTTGTTAGAACACATTTCAACACACCAACAATACTGATGCACACACCTCGCCACCCTGTTTCTTGATAGAATCGATGCCGTCCAGGTAGTTCTTGACAGCCTGGGTGTTGTGCAATGGGCCACACAGAACACCATCCTTCAACGGGTCACCGATCTTGACGTTCTGGTACGCAGACACTAGACGTTGGAGGAACTCATCGTGGATGTCTTCGTGGAGGAAGAGACGACGGAGCGACGTGCAGCGCTGACCGGCCGTTCCCACAGCAGAGAACAGCGTCGCACGCAGAGCCATCTCCATATCAGCGTCCTTGTCCACAATCATGGCGTTATTGCCACCCAACTCGAGGATGGTCTTACCAAAGCGAGAGGACACCACCTCGTTCACGTGACGACCCACCTTCGTGGACCCCGTGAACGAGATTAGCTCCATACTCTTGTCATGCAGCATCGCCTCGCCGACTTCGGCGCCGCTTCCGCAGATCAACGAAGCGATAGCACCAGAGTGGCCATTGCGTTCCAGTACATCAGCAATGATCTTCGTGCACGCCACGGAAGTTAGTGACAGAGATTCGGACGGCTTCCAGATCTGAGTGTTACCACACACGAGACTCAGCGCGGCGTTCCAGAACAACACCGCGCAAGGGAAATTGAAGGCCGTGACGATGCCCACGTGGCCCTTAAGCGGGTTGTAGCGCTCCATCATGAAGTGACCGGGACGCTCAGAAGGAATCACAGAGCCGTTCAGTGTGCGGCTGAGACCCACAGCAAAGTCACAGATATCAATGGCTTCCTGCACCTCTCCAACGCCCTAAAAATCACCACAAAGGCAACAATACAAGCGTAAGAGCCTTCAGATAGCTAGTAATACGTCTGAGGGCCGTACCTCCACGTAGATCTTGCCCATTTCAAGCGAGATAAGCTTGCCTAGCGCATCGCGCTTGTTGCGCAGCTCTTCTCCGATCTGGCGTACGATCTCTCCGCGCTCAGGGGCAGGTAGATCGCACCACTTAGGCTTGGCGTCGTCCATAGCGGCCACCACCTTCTTATAGTCAGCCTTGTTACCAGCGCGCACACTGGCAATAGGCTGGCCGTTCACTGGGCTCACAGACGTGTATACGTCGCCGCTGCCGAACCACTTGCCATTGTACACACCGTGGTTCTCCTCCTTGAGGCCCAGCTCCTTCAGGAATGGGAACTGCGCGAGGCTGCCTGACGCCACGGACATGCGGCGCCGTGCCAGCTGCGTCATCATGAGCGCCGACTTAGTCTGCTTTCCACGGGCAAGACTCAGCATTGTAGTGGGTTCGGGGCAGGAGCGAGTGCGCAGATGAAGGCGAATTCGATTGTGTGCGGATCCGGAAACGGCAAACTGTGGAACTTCAATGAGACTTAGTGTGGCGCACACTATTCCGCCGTGATGATAGTCTTGACGTCCAATCCAATGTTTGGAAATTGACTGACGTATGCAACATCAAACAGCTGCACCTGGCCACTGACGTGGTCTTGGACAAAAACTCTAGGTATGAAGCATGCAGTAAACATGCAGGATTTGAGGAGTCTCGAGTGACTCGCAGCTTCGGTTTATTGAGCAATTTGTTCAAATGTTGAGAGCTTTTAGCTGCTAATTACCCTGGAAAGTCTGCTTCTCGAACAGGTGCAGTGTTAGTGTGGACAGGAACGCCGGGAACGACCGACATGTCGTCAGGTAGGCGAATACGCGCTGGTTGATCTGAGAGCAGAACTCGCTGTCCAGCAGCTCCAACGATCCGTTCGACTCCATGCGAACCAGCAGCTCGTCATCATCGTGCTCGGCGTACACGGAGCGCAGGCGAAGCAGCTCCATGCCGTTGCTCTTTCTTAAATCCACCTTGTAGCCCGTCAGCAAATACACAGCCTCTCTGTACTGTCGGATTTGGTCACCGAACACCTGCAAGAACAAGGAGATATCATTATTGTGTGTTAATTTGGTAATTGCAAGCAGCATGACGAATCTGCGCACCTGCTTCAGACGCTGATTGAGCTTCTTGAGGCCCTCCACCGTATCATACGACGTTGTGGTCGTAAGTTTGTCCTCAGCAATACCAGGAGACTGCACCCAAGACAAAGATCATATTAAAATCTTCAACGCAAGAATGATGAACATCGCGTCGGTAAAACGTACCTCTGCGTCTTCGCCGTCTGTGAGTTTGCTGAGTCTTGACCGCAGCGCCTCGTTTTCTTGACGCAGTTTCTCAATGTCACTAGATTTGGCCTTACTTTGGAGCAGCTCACGTGTTGGATTTACAGCCAAATGCACAATCTTCGTCGTTTCGACGTTGAATTCGCCTCTGCCCAGCCGCTTCTCAAAGACTGCCAGTTCCATCTCCGCCTTCTCAAGATGCTTTTTCAGATTTCCATTCTCCTGCTTCGCGTCGGCCAGCGCCTTCTCCAGTCGCTCAATCCGAGACTCATACTTCTTGACAGCAGCAGGTGTCGCCATGGATTTTTGAGTGGACTCCATCCCCTTAATCAACTCTTGTGACTGCTTCAGCAAGGACTCCAGCAAGGCAACGCGCTTTGTTGAGAGCTCATTTGCCTCCTGGTCGTCTGGATCCTTTCCGTACGTTTCAAGAATCTCGATCAGCTCTGCGTTCACCTTCCGTAAGTGTGTGACCACATCGTTGGAGCCATTCATCTTCTCCTGAATCTCCGCCAACTGCATTTCAAGCTTTGCGCAATTGTTACCCGACGTGATCAAGTCGCTTTGGAATTTTTCACATTGCTTCTCCAGCCGTCGACGTTGGATCTCGGCGTTGCTCTTGTGCTCGAATAGAATTTCAAAAGCATTTTGGCGCGCCTTATACAGCTCAATTACTGCAGCCGCCGGTCGGTTCTTTAGGTCCTCCAATGACACACCACCTGCAAATGGACAAGCGATACGTAATGCGTTAGCACCTTCGCGTGAATAACAGAATAAATGCAGCTCCACGTACTCTTTTCTTCCTTCACAATTGGTTCAAAATAGTCGTAGAACTGTTTGTGGGCCTCCTCCACGAGCATTGCACTCTCCTGTAAAAGATAAAAGACGTTAGAGCACAAACAGCGTTGGAGCAGTCATATTTTAGCAACGTACAATGCGTTTGAGCGACTGAGTGTTCCGCTCTTCACTCTGCTGCAGCTTCTGGGTCGTCTGATACAGCTTTTCCTGCAGAATAGAAGATGATCGAGACACCTCGATCAGGTCCACCAACTATAACGAACAGCATAACATCAGAATTTTGTTTTAATCAAGACGCGACCATCGTGTACGCACCTCAGCCTTGAGTTTGCGCTCTGTCGACTGCAATTGCGTGATCTGCTCGTTTAGTTCGCGAACTTCTCTCGCATTTTCCAGCGTCTCTTGCGCTCCAAGCAAAGTAGACGCTGCATGTTCAGCCTCCAAGCTCTTCTCCTTCAGCTGGGACTCTAGCAAACGAATCTTTGATTCAAGAATATTGTCCTCGCTCTGAGGAACATTAAATCGAATAAATAAACGACACAGAAACAAGTTGAGCATCAGCCCCGAACTAACCTGAGAAGAGGTCGACGACGAGTCTTGAGCAGCTTCCAGTTCATCCTGTAAAAGCTGGATCTGTTACGACATACACAAAAAAAAAAGAATGTTGGTCGCCAGCTCACGTGTAATCTCGTCAGCGCATCTACTGTTCGCTCACCTTCATCGCCGACTGTCTAGTTTGTAAGCGCAGTTGGCTGGTTGCTTCGAGAGCTTTTTCCTTCCACTCGTTCAGCTTCCCCTCGACAAGCTCCAACTGCGCCTCCAGCTCAACCACTCTCTTCTCCAGCTGCAGTTTTTCCGCCGAATATTCATTTGTGAGGGTCTTAAGCTCCATCCGCGTCTCCTCCTCCTCCACCACAGCAAACTTTAGCTGGCGTCGAAGTTGGTCCAGTTGCACGTCTCTCTCCTTCAGCTCGATCTGGTGGCGCTGGGAGTTTGTCTCCAACTGAATCTTCAGCATCTGCATCTCTCGCTTCAGCTCCTCATTCTACATAGTAGTCCACCACACCGTCACTATCAGCCCCATCATAATACTTCTGCTGTGTGTCGATAGTCGTACCTTGGAGACCGCAATACTCTCGATCTCGAGTCGTTGCCGCTTGTTCTTCCTCGCACTTTCAGTCTCCACAGCTTGCTTGGCTATGAAGTAGCAATAGTCCAATATAACATTGTCAGTCCGAGCCTGTACAGTCTAGTTCCTTGTGTATCGTAGTCTCCTGCACCTTCTGCTCGCTCCTTCTCCAGCTCCAGCACGCGCTCCTGAAGCTTCCTCACCTGCTCGGGCGAGAGGTTATTACTGCTCTTGTTCGGCGTGTTCATGTCGTCCAGGAAGGTGCCGTTGGATCCGCCTTTGGACTGGGAACAAAAGTTACATTACGGTCTAGCAGAGGCAGAGAACGAGAGTTTTTCACCTGTAATGAGCTGGTATCATCGACGTAAAACACTTGCGACGGGTCCTTGGGTATCGGCGAGCACAGGAACGACGAGGACAAGGCCTTCTTCCGCTTGCCCTCGACCATCGCCCCCTTATGGGATCACTTTGAATGGACTTTTTGGCGCGTGGTTTAGTTGCGCTAGGTTTAATGGTCGAAACTAAAAACAACCATCAAAAAATGTGGGGTTTTGAAAACTGTATCCATCCAGTTGTGTCCAATTGTGGGTGAATTGACACAATTTATTTGTCGTTTTACAAATTTCAACTTACGATCTGTCAATTCACCCACAACGGGATGGATATTTTTCGATGAGGTTAAATTATTTATTTAAAACTGTGTGTTTTTTCAAAGTTTTTTTTCAGTGCCTAGTCACAGTTGAAGATCGCTATGTCACTATTCTGAGGATGCTGCACGAACATTTCACAAATGAGCTCCGAGGAATGCACTGTTGTGGACGGGGGCGTGTGCGTGCGCTACGCGTGCAAATGTGGGCACTTAGCGCCCATGTGTTCACTGTTCTTCAGCGAGACTTGTGAGAAACTGGTGTGTCGCTTGCCTCGATGCAGCGTGGAAGAGTTCGAGTCGTACTATTGCGGGAATCTGTTGGTAAATCTGCCGTCAAAGGAAGCGTCCATGTACCAGAACCGCTCGAGTCGCTGCTTCAGCTGCCCTACGTGCGAAACGGTGCTCTCCACAGTCATGCACGAGCAGCGGTACTTTTTCCTATGCGCTCACTGCCGCTGGGACTCGCTGGATTTGGGGCTGGTGGACGACGACCAGGACGCGCTGATCATGACGGCCATCACACGCGAGCGCCAAGCGGCTCACGAGGACGTCTTCCAGGCATTGCACTCGCACTACGCAACGCTGACAAGCTCCTCGGCCAATGGAGGCGCCACTCCGGCGCTTTCATCGAGTTCTGGGGCATCATTCGGTCGCAGCAGCTCTCTCCAGTTGCTTGCGGACTCGATGAAGGAACTACAGCGTGAGCACCAAATGAAGAAGTTCAGATTACAGAGAATGGCGGAGATGGGAGGATGGAAGTACGATCAGGCGCTTGCTAAGGTGCAGGAGAAGGAACAATGGCTGCTCCAGCAAAGGCGTGAGCACCAGTGGCCTGAGCTGACGAAGCAGCTTGCGGCGTTGCAGACCCAAGGGACGTCGTGGGGTCAAGACACGCCAGAGAAGACTCGCGAGATGCTGGGAAAACTATCGCAGAAACGCGATATGGGGAAGGTGTCGACGCTGCATCAGCGACTACTGAATTCGTTGGATCAGTCGCGTGATGTGGAGAAGCTCTTTCCGTCTCGACCACTGCTGCGCGTGAAGCGGACGTGGCGGTGTGTTGAGTCGATTGAACGAGGCACCGCTGGTATCCTCGTCAAGCCACAGATCAGCCCTATGAGTGGCGATAGCTCGCTGCCCGTGTCAGCGTCTTGGTTCAAAAAGGCGAACCTAGCCGCGCAGTACGTGCCTGTCATCACGTTCCAGCGACTGCCGTACCGTGTCGACGGTACTGGTAGTGTTGAATGCGTTCTACTCGTTGAGAACCCACTGGATGATGCCATTCGCATTACTTTCCGGGTTGCTCCTACGACATCAGAAGTTGACAAAAATACCCTCGAGAACGGACAGGTATGCTGCAAATTATGAAGTCACCTCTATTGCGACTTCAAGAGCTAACGTTTGTTGATGCAGGTCGTACTGCAAGATTCGACTCCGATCATCGTTGGACCGTACGAGGATCCGAATCTCGCAGATGCTTTCATCGACGATGAGCCGCCCTTCGGTCTTAATGGTGACGAACACAACGCGATGCTGATTCAAGCTACAAGAAATTTAATCAAGATCAAGCTACCTGTAAGTCAACGCTGTTGTTAACATGTCATTCTCAGTGGATTTGATAATTCTGACGTGTTTCGTCTGCGTATTTCTGATACTTTTAGCTGGTCAGTGATCCAGCTACGCCAATCTCGACGATTTCAGCACGATTCGTCATGGACACGGAAAAGTTTGATGAAGATGCGAATGAGGTTATCGAGAATACGCTGCTAAGTGTTCCTGTCGTGATCACCGCTCCAATCCCGCAATAAGTCAATCGTTCAAAAATGAGTTCATCCAGAATAGCCACGTCTTTTCATTTTGGAGGATGGAGCTGCCAGAAGATTTGGACGGATTCCACGCGATCTTGAAGCGCCGAATCCGTAACCAAAGCGACATTGAAAGCTGTCGCCAGGATTCCTCTGCTGAGAATAAGGTGGCAGCTCAGCGAGCTATAGCTGCACGTGTAAGGACTTATCTACATCCTGATCAATCAAGTGATCAAGCTGTGTTTTCATAACGCCTTCTAAGATTCTTGACTTTTGACGAGTAGGAAATCCGCCACGTTGTCGGTCAGTCGGGCTGCTTCTGTTTTGATTGTCTACTGCATCGGAAGCAGGAGTGGCGAATCGGAGATGTCAACACTGCAATTGTGGGACCCAGAGATCAGTGGCAGCAATACACTTGGGGAAATGCAGAAAGGCTTTGTCTTTACTCAGAGGAGTCTGTGACCACTACTAAGCCAACGCTAACGCCATCCATTCAAGAGAAAATCCGGGTCCACGACTCCAAGAATCGGATTTTGACTATCGGACGCGATGCCAAGTTTGTTGCCGTGAGTCCACCTTCGCGGTTGACGCTGCTTCGCAATAATTGTTTCGGTGACTTTTACTTCCATCGTAGGTGGCTTCAGGAAAATACCATACACTTATGCTGAGCGGTAAGAATTGAGCAAATAGTGATAGCATGACATCTAAGTTGCTGACGATGCTGTTGTGAGCAGAGTCTGCGGCAGTGTTTTCGTGTGGGGATGACACGTACGGTGCCCTTGGAATGTGTAACCTTACCAATGAAAGCAGATCTGCGCCAGCCAAAGTGGGAATTCCATTAACTAACGTTAGAGGATCTGTGAAAATTATCGCTGCGAGCGGGTTTGCTTCATTTGCCCTAGTTGGTTTGTTCATTTTTTTTTTTTTTACTTTTTTTGGTAGGTTAGCGTTTCTGATCTAGTTCACTTTGTTTCAGAGTTGCCAACCACTGATTCATTACAGCAACTAACTTCAAAGGAAAGTCGGCAGAACCTGGGGCGACTCACGGCGATCGAGAGAATGGCACGAAGTCGAGCGCCCACCCAAGCTAATATGGACTATGCTGTGAATGCTCCAACTGTCAACAATCGTATGCGTAAATCCGCTATATACTGTGTTACGATGTCATTCCATGCTGATCATTTGTGTTTCGTCATAGTTTTTTCGTGGGGTCGGGGTGACTACGGAGTGTTAGGTCATGGTGATACTAGATCGTGCTCTGTTCCTCGTGTTTTAAAAATGTTCAACTCACTCCGAGTGACCGGCGTGAGTGCTGGCCTACACCACGCCCTGGTTCTTACAGAGCTGGATGGTGTATACGCATTTGGAGACGGCAGCAACGGAAAGCTGGGCATGGGTATGTGATTTTCGTGTTTGTTTGCAAGTTCGTACTACGTGGTGCAACTAACTCTACTCAGGAGATACGAATCCTCGTTTATCTCCCACTAGAATTACGAGTCTCGATGGTCTAAACGTTGTTCACGTTTCAGCTGGCGATGAACATTCTATAGTCATGACTGGCGAAACCTTCTTCAATCGGCAGGTTTACTCTTGGGGACTTGGGAAAAACGGGTATGAAGCTTATTGCTTTCGACTGAATTGGCATCCAGCTTACATGTGATCTTCCTAGACGGCTAGGCCACAACGACGAACTAACTCGGTTGAAACCTACACGTGTAAACTTTTTTCGTGGGCGGGTGAGTTCGCAGTCCCTCCCACTTTAATTTTACCAACATCCTGCTTTGTAGAAAGTTATTACTGTTGTCGCTGGAGGAGCTCACAACCTAGCGACATCAGGTACGGCAACATCCTACATCAAACAAAAGATAACGAAAGATTCTTGACGTCCAGCACGATTGAGATAGAAATGCCTCAAGGTGTTTGCGTTTGGTCATGGGGCTCTGGTAGTTACGGACAGCTAGGTATGTTGTTGCAAAAATCTGTTACCCTTTCTCAACTGAGATCGATGCTCTTTCTTAGGCCACCGTGACATTTGGGACGCTCTGATTCCTAGATCTGTTGACGAGATTCGGCACGAAAATATTCGCTTCATCAATGCCGGCCAACGCCACTCGTTAGCAATATCTGAAGTAAGACAGCTTTGGCTATGGGGACAAGGAATTCACGGTGACTATGATGTCCCTGATCCCGACACGTCCAGCGCTTCAATTTTGTATCCGATTCAGGCAAGTTCATCAGGTATCGATCTGTGTGCGCGAACTTTCCTTATATCGAGCCATCATGCCGCAGATTGAGCTGCCCGGTCTATCGTTGGTCAGTGCCTGTGCTGGGAGAGGACGTACATTTGTTTGGGGTGATCGAGGTACGTATTTAAGAGCTTGACGTCATGTAGACCTACGCGTTTACCATTTGGTATACAGCAATCGAGCGTGAGAAATCTCGACCATTTGGTGGAAGCGCAGGTGAGTTAGAACGAGATCACACTTTACAAATGAAAGCTAATTCGTTACCTTTACTGTCATCACGAATGGTTGATCTAGCCGAGAGTATCTGCCGCTCGTTGCCAGAGTATGAGTGTTTGACATCAGACAGTTTCCGCATTGTTTATCGATGCGGACCATGCCAGCTTGACACGGTTTGTGTTGGATGCGCTCACAACTGCCACATCCAGCACTATCTAGAGCTGAGATACACCATGGAGGATACTTTAAGCCGACATTGTGACTGCCTCGCTGGTTCCAAGAAATGTGTATTCGCGGGTGAGGAGCAATAATGATGTAGAACGTTTTGAGAGTGAAACGAGGGTATTCACTCGTTTTCTGCGGTCGGGGCGAGAAACCGGGTTCGAAGATACTGTAGCTGACGCCGAAGACCTAGAAACATAACGTTTGTTAACATCATGTCCAACTAGGTTGATACCGAGTTCACAATACCTGCGTTGTCTAGGTCTGCGTATCGAAGCACATACAAATGGTGCAGAAGGTTTCTGTTGATTCTGTTGGCACTATTGGCTGCCGGATCTAGGTTGGCCGAATTCTCAGTAGCCTCACTGTCATTTCGCAACTTCTCATAGGTCCGCTCTGCTTCGCGGATCAGCTCTGCTGGCAATCCACTCTGCGCAGCAGTCTTGATGCCGTACATACCACTTGATGGGAATGGGCCGTCCTTTAATACGTAGCGAAAGTGCACAGAATTCTGGTACCAAAGCAAATTTAGATACGCCAACCTCCTTTCCTGCGTTGGTAGCAACGTACCGTGTTTGATTCGGTCCCCATGTGGTAGCATCGACAGCGAGGATACAGCTGAGCGAGGCGATTCAGTTGGTGATAATGAGTTGCGAAGCACGTGTACGATCCTCGTTCAATTAACTCTTCGCCGATACTCCATGCAATCGCAGCACCTTCATCGTTGGCAGTCCCTCGACCCAGCTCATCGATCAAAACCAAAGATTTCGATGTGCATGCTTCCAGGATGAAAGCCGTCTCGGTCATCTCGACAGCAAACGTGCTGGCATTTTCTTCCATGTCATCTGATGTCCCGAATCTGGTACAGATCCGATCCCGAATCGGAATGGAAGCTTCGGAAGCTGGAACGTAGCACCCCATCTGAGCCATAATTGTTATAAGTGCTGTTGCCCGCAAGTATGTTGACTTCCCTGCGCAATTCGGGCCAGTAATGACTGCAGCAGCCAGAGTTAGCTCACAAGACTGCAAAAATGCTGCTTCCTTTTTGAAAGTTATATCGCTTACTGTGGAAGGTGCTCAAGGGATCGAAAAACTTATTACAGAAAGTCAGCACCCGTATAAATACTGGAATACGAATATATACGGGGTGAACACTTACGGAGTCGCTAGGGATGTATGCTCGATCTTTCAGAACACGCTCAACGAGCGGGTGTCGACCCTTTTTTATGATCATGTTTCCATGCTCAGTGACAATCGGTCGTGTGTCTGCATATGCAAATGCCATAGAGAGCTGTGAAATATAGTTACTACAAGATTCAACGGCGATAGGTTTACATGGCTGATCTGGAGGTGAGAGAGCAACGACGTTCACAAAACTGGAATCATAGTTCAGTGGTTTATCCGAGAGATTGTAATATCAAGGTGATGAGCTGTACCTGAGAAGCATATCCAGCAGTGCGATGCTTTCAACCATCGCATGCATGGTTGAAGCTCGAGGACGGATTTTGTCGAGGAGCTGCTGGATAACATCATTGGACAGCTTATAGACTGCGGTGAGTGCTTCCTTGAGCCTCACATTGAGTGAAACAAGCGCTTTGGTGGAGCAGCATATCACTATGGCAAGCACCACACAAGGTTAGAGTCAACAGTCTGCATTTCTACAACGACTGTACTGTTAAAACCAGTTTTCGTTGTCACTCTCTCGATGAAGCTCGCAGGTAAATCTTTGGCATTGACCGGAACGGCCAAATGATAGCCCCTTCTTGCGCTTAGTAAACCCAAATTAGTTGATTAATATCAGATAAAAATTGTTCATGCTCAGTGCAGTAGCTTACGTGTAATTGATCCGAATGGGAATCCCGAGATTTTCCTTGTACATGTGTACAACTTCGTGGATCTTTTCGATTGTGTCAAGGTAGGTTCGCCGTGCGACGTCAAGCATACCATCGACACCTGCTCTGACAGCAAAGCATTCTTGTATGCGCTTCTGCGCTGCAGATGTGCAAACTTTCACCCTATTTGACGGATCCGTTAGACTGATCGCGAGATAAACGCCATCTCGTAATAGAGTACCTGTCGTTTACAACACGCTCAATGTCTTCCTTAATCCATGTGAATTGCTCATCGCGCAAACTTGTCACTAATGTTAGCATTTATATTCCACGTTGATCACATTTCTTGAATCAAATGCACCTTTGAATTACTGAGTCGAGCAGCGGACAGGGTTGATCCAGCTTTATCGAGGTTGTTTCCAAGCTCGAAACCAACCTTGGCAGACATTCTAGTGTGTGCTTGAGCGCAATTACACTGCCTATGGCGATTCTTGAAACACGAGGGGTGATAACTTTGGGAACAAACACGAGTTGGTTCTAACCAGCAAAGCGATTAAAATTGTGAATCCATCCGCTGACATGGTCATAACGCAAGTAACTCACCAGTAGCCGATCCAAGTCAACGAAACCACTCAGCTCTTCCATAACATCGAAAAACCAGGCTGGGTTGTCAAGGAAAATCCCAACAACTTCTTGGCGTGCCTGGCTGAACCACTCGAAACGTGAGAGCTAGGGCGAAACAACAAAGCAGCAAACTTATAGGCAGAGGGATACATTGTCTTCAGGTGGCATGTTGGCTGCAGCATCTACAATCCGGAAACAATATATTAGATATACATAAGAGATATGCTCTGCAGTTTCTCCAGTCTTACCGTTGACCTTAATAGCCGATTTCCAGCAGAGGTTTGTGTATTGTTGAGCATCTTGCACAGAGACTAACACCAAATGTTATCGTGAGAACAGAGAAGCAAAGAAACAACACCGATATTTCGCGCCTATAGGTACATTATACCTGGTTGTCGTTTCTTCCTCGCGTGCCTTGCACCAACTCGAGGGAGGAAACTGTTGCTTGGTCCATAAGCAGCTTGCGTGTCGATGGGCTAAGCACAACCTGCCAGTTTAAAGAAACAGAGCTCAGTTGCATTGTCGAGTACCTTCATTATGGAGGTATGTTGAAGCTACCTTCATGCTCTTCTCTGCGATGTAGACACCTTGGATGTACTCGATGTATTTCATCACGCACGCCACTGAGGCCATGACGACGTAGTTCTGTCCACAGAAACTTAATCTTAGTGCAAACAGCAGCTGAATGCTAGCTACCGACAAAACAAACCCGTCCAATGTTGATATCGACGTTGTTTGCCATCACGCGTTTGATATCTTCAGCTCCCTTGGTCTGACTGTTAGCCAACAGCGAGTTAGTAAGCACAGCTAGCTGCCCACCTTCTTTCAACTCACTCAAAGTACTTCCGCGCAAGCGGAACAACTCGGCATTTCGACCCGGTGAAGCGCTTGGAGATCTCTTCATTGACTTTGCCAGATTTGGACGTTTCCACGACGAGAACTTCCACGGGCTAGACATAACATCGTCAGAGTATTACCCAGTCATCACAGTATAACTATCTGTTTCTACCTGATAAGCTTTTAGCAGTGCCACCGTGTCCACGTACGAGTGCGAGTCGATTACCGTCCACAACAGCAGCTCATACGGCGAGACCAAGTCAATTGCACAGATCCCTGAATACACAAAATATTAGAATTCCCGTCCGTGCTACCTAATGTAAGCACAAGCTACCTATTTCACGGGCACGGTTCTCCGCCACAGCCGCAATGAGAAACGACGATCTGGACTCGAGTTCAGCCGATGTAGAGCCTCGTGATCCCCCGCGACTTGACAATAAACTACTGGGACGAGCAGCTGATCCTGTGATGAAGGCCACAGCTCCATCAGGGGGAGGGACACCGTAACGCGGGGGTCTGACAGTGCCTTCATCAAGCTCCACACGAGAAGCGATCACGTCTTCCATTACACACTTGCTCACTAGCCTGCAATTTGAGGAATGCAAGGTCCAGAACGAGTGCGGAATAGGAGTGATGGTCACTTCAACCAAAATGCAACTTCAACTTTGCAATGAAAGTTATTTATTCGCGATAATAGTCTGGGTTGACGTTCCTGCCTAATAGCTCTACGCCGATGGGAATGGTTTAGTCTTGTTTCTCCAGTCTGTGCCTACTTCAGTCCACAAGCAGACTGTAGGACGGGAAACAGCATACGTCGTCGGATTCACGTCCCAGCGAACAATCAGCACATTGAAAGTCCTCAAGATAAAGTTTGGTGCGAAGCGGGTGAAGAGAAGCAGAATGATGTCGTCGGCACGGTAAAGATACTTGCCACGGTACACAAATCCAGACAACAGCACAGCCTCGGCTGTCGGGACTCGAAAGTTGTTCTTCTTCACATGGGAAATGTCCTCGCAGTCGTTGAACATGAATCGAAAGTGCTCGCCGATGCAATAGCATTCGAACGATGTAGCATCGGCCAGATTCACGATCGAAGCTCCATGGGAGAGTGCCTTTGGTTTGCCCTTGGGTGGGGGTCGAAGTGTGACTTGAAAAGCAACCTTCCAAGAGATGAACCATGACTTTAAATCTTCTAATGGGTGGGGATTGTGGCGTGTCCTCAACACGTAAGCAACTGAAGCAGTCGCTCCCCAAACCAACATAGCAAACGATGCAATCACGAAAGCAATATTAATGCTGAAAACAACACACGAGTCCGTGAGCTTGCAGACTTCCGCACCCTCTGGGGTAGACCGGAGCAGCGTTTTCGAGTTGATTTCAAAGATATAGCTGAGACTGGTGTAGCGGATCGAAATGAGCATGTTCGCCACGATAGCTGTGACGATGAGAAGCACCATTTCCCACGAAAGGCGGAAGTGGCGATCCAGCTGCTGTTCGCCCGTGCGGCTTTTTACGATGTTCACAAAACTGTACGAGAAGGCCATCACACAGAAGGTGAGGTTCCACACACATTCCACCGACATCGTGCCTGTTCCGAGCGCCAGATAGTACGTATCGGACTCACGGTACAAGTGATACGCAATCTGAAGCAGATACATGGCTTGCATGCGGCCATTCTGGCAACGATACGCCCAAATCTGGCTCAGAAGCACAGACTGCTTCTGGCTCATGACTTGGTACATACTCAGCATACTCATCAGCAGGATCTGCATGATCACAATGCCAGGCAAGATACTCATCTCAACCTTGTCAGCGTACCGGGACCGAATTGTGTTGTGATTCATAACGATATTGGCTCCGTCTTTGGTCGAGGCCCATTCCCACTGCGAGTTGTAGTAGTTGTGCACGCAGACGCCTTCAGTACTGCATAACGGGATATCATCCGGAGCTTGAAGCATCAAACCGTAGTCGATCCAGAGTGAGCTGATCGCACAGTTTTCGCCGATGTAGATGCCGGATGTATTGACTAGATGAACGAAGCAGCCACCATAGTATCCACGCAGCATCGGCTGAACGATGACATCGGTCGATTCGGCGTCCCCAACCGGTGCTACCGTCCGACTGACCGTATTGATGACACAGGGAAAGTTGTATGGGAACAACCGCAATGTTGTCGGCGCATTTCTTGTTTGATCCAAACCCTCGGACACGAACGCGCGTGTTAGCGCCGTGTCGGTATCAAATGCAACCTCATTGCGGCAAGCCATTGATTCCGGGAAAATGGTCAGGTCTGCTGCCAAAATGGACGAGAACTCATTGATGTGCGGAATGGGCTGGAACATGAAGGTCTTCAACCGAGCTTCAATCGTCCAGCGCGAGTTGCATGAGCTCGTAACAGCAGCAGTAACCTCTGCAACCATATCATTAGACACCGGTAGCTTAAGCACGCTAACTGCCTTCACGATCAGCTTTGGTTCAGCCGATATGAACGTGAGCGAGTCGTCCCAGTCAGAAGTTCCGTCGCCGCAAACTGCGTTTGCGCTTTCCAGTTCATCAATCAAAGCCAAAGCGGCAGCGCTCAACGTTTCGTTGTAGTCTTCGAAAGTGTTGGTGCGCAAGCTGCCGTAGGCAGGCTTCCCCATCATGGGGTCTTGTTTGAATTGGGCTAGCTGCAGCACCGATCGCTTGCACGTAACGCCGCAGTCAGGACAATCGTAGGTGACGTCGGGGTTCAGCTTTTCGTAGCCCAGAAAACTCTCACTGGCTGCACGGAAGACATACGGTGACTGCAGGTATGGCGAGTTGACGCAGATCGCCACCAGAATGATCGGGGCTACAAGCACCTTGAAGGACATAACGACTAGCACTGCAATGGCATCGTAGCGAGGCCCTGTCTTGGCGTTGGCTCTGGGTGACACAAACTCGAACTCCTTGTTGTCCTGAGGCTTCGTATTGTTCTCTTCTTCCCGGTTGTGCTGGATTAACGACCGACGTTGAACTTTGTCGGCGCTACCATCAGCATTTCTGCCGAACGAGTGCTGTTCGCCTGAATAGGCCGGGGGCTCTCCGTTCGGGGTATTGACGACTGCAACGGTAGCGGAGGATTGTTTCTTACGTTTCTCCTTGGCTGTCCGAGGACTCTTCGTCTCCGACTCGGACATGATGCTCCTCGCTTACTCTCACGCTCGACTCAAGCAGCCAAAGACGACCGAGCTCCCAACCGACTGTTAGAGTGTGAGGACAGCGGAGGATGAGATGATCCCAAGCTATTTACAAGTCTGGGAAGAACCTATCGGCGGTTGCTTTCATCGAAATTCTGGTCTGGGACCTCAACCTTATCGGGGAATTGTATAAATATATATAGTTGCTTTTGCACATGGACATAGCCTTCACTTGTCAAAGCGCTGCACTGCTCGAGCACTATTTCGGGCTACGAGACTGATGATGCACCGAGTCTGGGCTGTCCAAGTGTACCTGGCTCACATTTGGAGCAGGTGACAAGCATTTTGGTGGTTCTGTAGAAACCGATCCGTATTTTCCTTCCTACCACGGACCGTGGTCAAGAACATCGCGAATCGAAAGCGCGACCGCTGGGACTGAAAACTATTGGAGCATTTTTATGGGTAGTGATGCTTTGTAAGCCTTAATTCTATGTATTCGGTAGCAAATTTAACATTGCTCGTACACGATGCTGATAGGAAAAGAAGTCTATGCAGTTCAACAAAAGATAAATGGACAACTTGTTTAAGTTTGCGTTGGTTCAACGGGCACGCGCTGCTTTATAGCTACCCGAGTGGGGCAACTTACTGTATCTTCTCCTGGAGCACCCCCTAACGTTTTACCAATCATGCTCACCATACCCGTGCACGGTCGCACGTCGCAACGCGTCACGTTATTCCCGTGGATCTCTCCGATCACCATCAAGTCACCCTGAGAAATCGAAAGCCAACGCAGTCTGGGGAGTACTATGAATTGTGTACTGTCCTCTTCCACCATTTTCAATATTCCAAAAGATTTGAGCGTTTCAGCCTTGTAACAGAGTCTATCGTCTTCCCATACATAACCACTTAGCAGAATCATCTTGCACCGTTGTCCTATAGCCGTATCAACACAGCAGGGTGTCCACAACAGTAAGAAAGAACCAAAGGTCCATCGCACACTAATGATAGCTCCTATTGACCGGATGGAAGTGATCACGAACACGATTCCAAGCACGATAATGCCATGCCCGACGAGGCTCCACACATAATATGACACCGCATCGGCAACTGGTTTCGATTCTTGGAGGCTAGACTTATTAAGTCCTGTGAGATAGAACTGCATCGCAGCCGAGCAAGCCAACTCCCCGAGCAAAGCTGTCTCGTAGTTGAACAGCAAGCGTTTAATCAGACAGCGCACGGTTTCCCTCATCCAGTTCATAGTCTCCACCATCTCGAACAGCATCGACAATACTCCTGACAAGTTGTACCCAAGAGAAATGTACTGCACTTTTGCAAGAAGTCCGTCTTGCGCGATCAACATGAACAAGTCGCTCATCAGTCCTTCGACTAGTAAATAAATCAGTACAACACGGTGATAGTTCCTAGCCCCGTGCGCTGATAGCCGCATGCTCTCTTGAACAAACACGATAGCGTCTTTAAACTGCATCGGTTCTTGCAGACGATCGCATCGCCGCCCATAACGTGTGCACGAAATGTAGCTCCTGCGCAGCAAGATGGAGCGATACATGATCCAGACGGAGCCAAACATACCATACCAATACGACAATCGATACGTCGAATCGCCCGAATCCATGGCCAAATGCGCACCATTGCTGTCGTAGGTTCCAAGGCCGCCGACAAGCACGTAACCAATATTATCGTCGGCACACAGTGTACCTACGGCTTCTTCGTAAAAAGCATAATAGCCGATACTCCCGTGGTAGAAGTAATATTCCAGATAGTAGCTGTTACCCGAGCAACTAGCTGGACTCGTCTTCGATGGTGCGACTAGCTTGGTTCCAAGTACGTAGTTGCCGTGGATATTGTACTGGGGCACCACGAAATGACACACTCTGCCCTCATCCAACTTGTGGTAGTGCGTAAGGGCAACATTCCACCAAGCACCTGCAATCACAAGCCCTTCCATCGGACAAAACTTCTCCATGTCCTCAGTAAGTTTCGCCGCAGTTGTCGGGACGATCAGGTTTTGTGAAATCTTGTGAGGTGTCACGAATTTCAGGTAACTTCTCGTCTGCAAGAGCAGTGGCATCAGCCCGACGCACATCCACACAGCGATCAACATTCTCTTGGCGGTAAATAATTTGGCATCGCTTTCTTCATCCAATGTTTGCTGAGGAATTATTCTGGGAGGACCCCCCTCTTCGTCCACGCAGTACACCGCCGATTTCTTCTTGGAAGGTGATGACGGGAACTGGGTGACGCTAGGGGCTGACTTGAAGGACCTCACTTTTGACTGGTTAGCGGACGGCCCGCTCTGGGCCATTTTCTTTGTTCGATCGCACTCTTGCAATGCTGTTCACGGGTGAGCAGCACAAAAAATACTACTACTTTTCTTTTAGATAACGGACGGCGCCGTTGGATCTACTTCCATAATCTCACCGGACGTTGGAGATGTTGGTGCCAATTTTGACCTGGAGTACTTTAGCTAAAGCTTTAGCGCATGCGAATATGATCATGGATGCCAGTGAAACGGCGGTATCGCTGCTTGAATTCTGCCATAGCGGTCACTGATGCGTTGTCGACATTGCTGTACACGCTGTCGATGTTGAGTCACTAATGCAAAGCTCATAGAGCCGATTATACTTTTGATGAGTACATTGAGTTGCCTTTCACTATTATTATTTCACTAGTATTATCCATCGTACTGTACATGTTGCAAGTCCACTTCACGACTGGATATATTGGTTTCAGGTGTACATGTCCTGGAGAGGTTTCACCGCGAATATTATATTTTTGCATGATCCGGATACATTTGGGCCGCAAAAATAATTTTTCATGGGACTGGTAGTCAGCGAATTGTTGGAAGACAAACTCCTAGTTGAAATTAACAAACGCATTCAACGTGGTTGATCAACGTTAGCATTCGCGCTGGTTGGGTCTCAACACGTTTTGACCAGATGCTTGAGAAAAAAATGTTTTTGGAAGTAGCAATTGAAGTGCAATGCAAGATACTTGATCCATGGATGGCACGTCACTCGACTGCAACCTCGCCATATTTTTTTTTTCAGTCAACGCGGTTATTGTAATAGCACATGTCGCCTTCCTCGCCATTTCCGTCGCAGCTGAGCCCGTCGTCCGAAATAACCCTGCGTCATGAGGAAACCGCTCGGCGAAGCTTCTTGCCCGCCACGACTGGCTGCGGCGCGTTCTGGTCGGGCTCGCGCCGCCAACGCACGCTAATATAAATCAGCGGACTTGTCGAGAGACACTGCTGGGGGCCTCAGTGGGGCCGCCGTTAGGCGTGCGCCAATCCGCTGGGAACGCGCCGCGGATTTGGATGGGGGAGTGCAGGCTGCAGCTTTATAATAGTGCCGCCAGCGCGGCTGCTGCTGGCAATTGGTCCGGTGACCGCTCGACAGACGCTCGAGAGAGCTGCAGGGGTGATCGCTGTGGGGCTTTGAAGTTGACCTGACCGAACGAGTCTAGATTTGTGGCATTTTCGTGGCACCTTCTTTAGCGACTAATTCGTTGAATCGAACCCTTAAAAACGTGCTATAGGGGGCATCTTCTTGAACCGGATCAGATATATTTCCACGCGTTTTTGAGGCATTCGCTCCAAAGACTGCAGTGCAGCCTCTTGTTGATCTACCGCATCATATCTTTTTTTCCTTGTGCAGCACAGTTCTTGCGGCGTCAATGCCTTCGTGGCAGCAATGTGTAAGTGGGTAGCTCTAAAAGTATTATCTACGGCATCTGTTGATTTGATATTTCCGATATCAAAATCCAAAAATGTGAATATTTGCTAATGTATATAGCATATAGCGTCAAGTCACAATACTACTGCATTTTAATAAAATAATATATGCTGTTTACATGCGAGCTTTCTTCATTTTGTAGTTTGACTGAGCTATAGGAAAATAGGAAGGGAATGGCGAGTAAGAACATCGAAAGGCATAGAGAAGGATCGGGATTAAATAATATTCAGAAAATAAAAATTAAATTATACCGGGTATCATAAAATAATAGTCTGTTTTGGTAAAACTTAATAATGATGGATTTTGCATTATTATTGCTGGGACGATTTAATGCGACTGGCAACTGTAAATCGATCATTTGCAGTAGGTTTTCATGAACCTTAGCTTTCCATAATGCACTTATTTGTTAAAGCTGGTAAAAATCCAATATAATTAATACTGGTACTACAAATGTAGAATTCTGCGGGCAGCATTAGATTCCAATAATCAGTTAATCCGTCATACAGTTCCTTAATTTCTTATTTTAATTGTTTTTCAAGCCCTGGGATAACCTGGCGAATGACAAATCCGCTCTAGGTATATATACACACATTATGCATCTAGTGCTACTACCGTATTTGTCGACTCAGACAAAAATTATAGTTGTTTTTACTGGGAAAGAGCTATTTTTTTAAAGAAAATACAGTATTTCTACCTTTTCTACAAACAATATGTTAAATATTTTCAATAAAAATTCAAGTAATTTGGATCATACTTGTATGTTGAAATTTGTTTTGGTACTGTTAGGGATAATTCAAGCTCATCTTTTTGAATTTTGTTAATTGAAGACAGGAATTACAGAAGAATTTAATACTATTTCACTTAATATAGAGACCGTAACTACTCAATACTAGTAACAGCAAGCCCATTCTGGAACATGAGATACAGATACCGCACAATTATCGGCTGAGCAATTTCGTGCTGCTAGAAGGATTCCTTCTGAAGAAGGACGCAAAATACTAATAAGTATTTTCAAATAGTATATCAGTATTATTTTGGTGGCTTATTACTGTTTTGAGGAAGTCCTTTGTTTTTAGCATTATTTTTAGAAGATGTTAGGATACTTTCGTAGTAGAAGCAAAAAACTACAATGTTTGGCTAGAGCAGACTGCCAAGCTTAGGTCTACAATGTTTTCAGCGATGTATGCGCTTGACAAAGATACGCAGCCGTCTGTTCTAGCCAAAACTCATAATAATCGTTCGATTCGGGTGTAGTATTTACGAGAAGGGTGGATTGTTGAGTATGAATAGAGTCCAGCATCGTACCGGTAGGGATGAAGATCTCTTCGCTACAGATACTTTTACATGCGAACAGCTTTCTTATCGGAGGTCCGCCCAGCAGTGAAGGCTGCCTCTCCGCCACAAACGAGCATTGACAAGAGGCACATGGAGTGGCAATAGCAGGCGCAAAAATCGAGTCAGCCGGGAGCGCCGAAACCGGACGCTGCATACAGACGGCCAGTGTGGACTCCTTACTCGCAAACCGACAAACCGGCTGTCAGATTGCGCGAAGCCACGGCCATCAACGCCACTACCTTATGCACGCCGTCAAAACCCTATCGCGTGACTGCGTTTCACGCGTCCAGAGGAAGCCTTCCTGGTATTGGTCCGCGGGAACACCGATGTCTGGTGCGTTCAAGTCGGCAGTGTTTTCGCTATTAGAAGGTGTTGCAGGTGGCGCTTGATAAGGAAGCGATGACACCCAAGAAGGCGGACCTTGTTTTACACTCCGATTTATAAAATCCAGGGAGGGTAGGTTTTTGTTGAAGGCTAGTCCAAAGAAGGTTCCTCTGACCCGTCTGTGGTGCATAGCCGAGACATTGTTGGAAGGCTCCTTTTCCCGAAACAAACGGGCTCATTCCCAGATATCCCCCTCAGGCCGCAAGTGAATCGCAAGCAGCTCGCCATGAGTAGCCCCCGCCAAGACAAAGACGAGCACAAACAGGAGGAGCAGCCCGTGTTCCGTACGCTTACGCCTAATGACCAGTCCGACCTTCCGCAGTACCGCTCCATGGCCGTGGCGTCCGCGCCGCCGGCCTTCAGCACGATGGGACCTCGCTCCCCGCTCGGACAGCTAGGTGCCGCTTTCCCCGGCCCCATGTCGCTCAATATGGCCTCAAAGAAATCCATGACGAAGAAGCCGGAGGCCGCTTCCGCCGCGCCCTCGTTCGGCATGCGTGTGGACCGCACGAAGTACGTGAACGTGACCCCTCGTGACCTTCCGCCGGCGCCGTTCCGCCTCGAGATGCACACACATTTCCACGTGAAGCTCGAGTCCACGCAGCGCGTGTGCGGCGTCGTGGGCATCAAGCTCTGCGAACTGGACACGGACTTTGAGTTCAAGGCCGACAAGTGCAAGTGGAAGGTCGAGTACCGCCGCAACACGCAGCGCGTCAGCCTCAACATTGCCATCTTCAAGACTTCCAAGGAGGAGTATGTACTCGAAGTGCAGCGTCGCGAAGGTGACATCACGGCTCTCATGCACCTTTACCACGAGCTTAAGAGCCTCTTCCGTCGCAGCCAGCTGCTCAGTGAAAAGACCTCGTCCTCCAACGGCGTCAAGCGCGCCGCCCCCAAGCCGCTGCCCAAGCTGCCGCTCTCCCCCGAGAGCATCCAGGACGGCGTCTCGGCACTCAAGGGATTGCTTGAGAGTAAGTATGCTGACGCACAGATGCAGGGTGTGCTGGGCGCCATCTCCATGTCCACTGTCGAGGAGACCCGCTCCGGCATGGCCGGTCTTGTGCCGCAGCTTGTGTCACTCGGCCAGTCTAAGAATGCCAACGTGTCCCGGTTAGTGAGTGCTGCGCTCGCACGGCTCTGTGATCACCCGCAGTGCCGCCAAGCGTTTATCCAGTCCGACGGGTGGCAGTTCATCGTTGACCTTGCTGCCGGTGGCGCCGACGTTACATCAGAGGTGCAGCGAGAGAGTCTTCACGTGGTAGAGACCCTCTGCCCGCTGTATCACGATGAGCTTGCCAAGTCGGAGAACGCTGGACGCGTCTTGGAACTGGTGCAGCAGTGGCAAAAGATTGAGGACCCGCGCCTCAAGAAGCACGCGTGCAACGCGCACCGTGCGCTTAAGGAGGCAGGAGTCCTCGCCTAAGTAATTTCAAGGGAGAGGAGGAGGGAAGTACAGGAGAAGAGACCCGTCAGCCACAGTTACTGCAAGTAATCTTCGCTCCCCACCCGCCTCCGTATCTTGCTTGTAAGACATTCCCACCTTCCCCAAGGTCCTCTTTTATCTTAGCTGTTGGGTGTACCTATGTGTTATGATTGATGAAACATGAGAACTTTCTATCATCTTCGTTGCTTTTAGATCTTTGACGTCTATTAGTGCCCTCATGTGCTAATGCTGGATGCCTGCTCGTGTAGCTCAATCGTCGAGGCACTGTAGATTTCCCGACGACCTTAATCTCGAGATTGGATCGCGAGGAAACCCCGTCGTGGGGACGATCTTGTGTGACGCGACATCCGGACACTTCAACATCCAAGCGATGCCATCAGAAACTAACGCCGGATCCTTCCAGCAACTCGAACGGAGCAAGAAACAGCAACCCACTGGAGCTACACAGGTCGTGCGTGACAAATGATGGCATTTAGAAAAGAAAAGAAGCAGTTTTCAACGTCGAATGCTACAAGAATGTGCTAGTGACTCTCACTGCCAAGACTTATTACTATATGAATCGGTTCTTCGCCTACTACACGACGTCAGCTGCTTCACTGGCTGGCACCCGTTTCTCAACGGACCAGCCGCCCTCTAGCGTTTCCGTGGTCATGGTGATGGTAGTGTCGGACACACTGTCGTCGTCAAGGAAAGTGTCCATTTCCGAAGCCTCGTCCTCAGAAAAAATCAGCTCGTGCTCGAGCACGTAGCCCAGTACCTGGTTCTTGACAGATCTGAAAATGTAGAAGATGAAACGCCACGGTGAGTATTGTGCAAGTATCGGTCAATGAGTACACTACGAGACAGCCTTACGTTGGAAACCAAATATTCACTGGGAGCAGCCAATGCAAGGAGAATTTGCAGTCCGAGCCGCCGAACACTTCCCGCAGGCCGAGGTTGTCTGCGCTCTCGCCCTTCAGGCGGTCAATCTGGGTAGTTCCTGTGGTGATGACGCTGTACTGGTCGCACATCATGCACATAGTGAAGAGGCCAAAGAGCACGGCCTCCAGGATCAAGCAGACAACACGGATAGCTCCGTACGTCGGGCAGCTTCATCACAGCATGGCACAACGACAGTTCGATTAGTTCAATGTTTTGTAGACACCTGCAATTTGCCACGTACGACTCATTGATGCACTTGGCGTAACGGAAGAATACAAGCGTCAATGCATACGCTGACAGCACGAACACATAGAAGATGAAAAGCAGGAAGAACTTGTGGTTGCCCAGCCCCACGCAGTTGTTCACCCAAGGGCAATGGTGGTCCATCTTGATGACACAGCGATCGCAGATCGAGCAGTGATGCGCTCTCCCTGGCTTAAACTGGCGGCACCGACGACACGTTCGGTACCTCTGCTCCTCCAGTCTGCAGCAGCAACAAGCGGTCAGCAACGACCCAGTTTAATGCTTCACAGTCTCCTCACCTTGCAATCTCGTCCTTAGAAGCATTTGCTAGCGCAAGAGGAAGTGCCGACTCGGGGACAGCGCCAGGGTCCGTCATCATGGCTGCAAGTCCACAATAAACAGCAACAGAATCAGAATTTCCCCTCCGTTCTGCCTGAGGCGCCTGTTGTAACCTTTTCCGTGTGATACAAGCGCCAGGAAGCAGAGCCCCGTGAAGATAACGATGTGAAGTAGACCGAGAGGTGACAAACCCATCCACGGATACACCACCACACCCTACATGGGACACAACTGCAGCGTTAGACGATCACTTGAATGCGAAAAGGAGACGTCGACTTACCACGACGGTGCATTCAGCGTACAGCACCAGGAACCACGAGATAATGGCACACACAATGCCGCATGGATCTGTATTACACCACAGACGCACGTTGAAGCCCGTTCCGCACGCCGCAGGCCGCTTGCGCTGCTCCAGGGACGGCATCCTTACCGCTTTTTGTCCTCTTCTTCACTTTGGAGCGGTTATCTTCTACCCGCCATGATTCATAATTATGCTTTTCAAGAGGATTTTAAATGAGACCATCACTCACATTTCCAGTTTAGAATACTCAATCATTCCTTTTGAAGGGTTTCATTACCCACATCCTAGTCATTCCTGCATATTCGTGCTCGTGATGACGTCCAAGAATCCTGCGCATACGTACGGGCGCATTGCGCTGAGCGACCTGACGCCTTCCCAGACATCCCAATGGACTGTGCGAGCTGTAGCCGGAAGATCACGGCAGTTTGAGCGTCCAGGGGCCCAAGCCGATGCATCGACCGACGCGTCTGATGTAGCGGCCACCGTATTGCGACTGCAGACGGCGGCGCTGGATGAGCGAATGAATATTGGCCTGCGCTGTGGTGCGTGTGACGTGGCCGCTTTCTCCTCACTGGACGAGCAGTATGCGCATTTCAAGTCGGCAGCGCACTGCGTGAACCTCAAGAGGAGAGCGAAGGGATTGTCATGTCTGTCGGAGCAGGAGGCGCTGCAGTATTTAGAGACGCAGAGCCAGGAGAAGGACGGAGGCTACGTCTCGTCCTCGTCTTCCTCATCCTGGTCAGAAGAAGAGGAGGAGAAGGTTGCTAAGACTTCGGAGCCTGTAGTTGAGTTTTCAGACGGCACGAGCGTCTTCAAGGTGTTCAAGAATATTCTTCCCGATGTTGACGAGGAGGCATTCAACCCATACACTGCATTGGACCAGATCTGTGCGTCTAAGTTCCGGTGGGCGGTCTTTCTGCTGCGTAGTGGCCGCTTTGCTGGAGCTGTGTTTGACAAGGACAAGGCTCTGTGTCATAAGACGTTCCAAAGGTACACGACGAGAAGGAAACAAGGTGGCGCACAGTCAGCCAGCGATGCTAGTGGCAAGGCCAAATCGGCAGGTGCTACGCTGCGACGGTATAATGAAGCAGCGTTGAAGCAGGACGTGGCAGCGTTGCTATTGGAGTGGAAGGACGTGCTGAAGGACGTGGAGCTCATTTTTATCTCCAGCGGGAAGACAGAGCACGCGACGTTCTTTCCGGAGAAGAACGCAGTGCTGCAACCAGGTGACAAGCGATTAAAGCGAATTCCGTTCGCTACGTTCAGACCGACGTTCGAGGAAGTGTGTCGAGTGCGCTCTGACCTCAGCACCGTGCGGTTCTCGCCGCTCGAAGCAGAAACACCGTCTCCGACTTACAGCGTGAAGAAATCGAAGAAGAAGAACAACAAGAAGCAGACCAGCGATCCTGCACCTGAGACTGAAGTTAAGGCTGAAGCTTCAGAGGAAGAAGAGAAAGTGCCTCAGATTATTCAGTTGGTGAACGACGGTGACCTGAAGGGAATCAAGGAGCTGCTGTCCAATGCGGAGGAAAAGGATATTGAAGTGAACGTGGTGGATGCCAAGTTCATGACTGCTCTACATCATGCTGCAGCGAAGGATGCAGTTCCAATGGTGGAGTATCTGCTAGAGCAAGGGGCCAACCCTGCTCTCTTGGACCTCCACAACCGACCGCCATATTTCCTGTGCAACTCGAAGGAGTCTCGGAACGCATTCCGTAGGTACATGGGTAAGCACCCTTATGCGTGGGATTACTCGACGGCACAGATTCCCGAGGGTTTGACTAGCGAAATGGAGCAGCGTAAGAAAGAAAAGGAAGCTGAAAAGCGGAAACGGGCACGAGAACGCAAGAAACAGCAGAAGAAGGAAGCTGCCGAACAGAAGCGGATTGAAGCTGAGCGACAGGAAGAGCTGGAGCGGAAGATCGCAGCAGGTATGGCTTGTGATTTCTGTGGCAAGTATGCTGGCAAGTCTCCGTTCACTCGTTTAGAGTTCAAATACTGCTCGACGGATTGTGTCAACGATCACAAACGCAAGCTCATGAGGGAAGCAGCTCTGCGTCGACTCGGGGGTTGAACATTACAGGACGAGGAGTTACGGGGCGTGCAATAGAGATTTTGAGAAGGATTAACGGTTGGCGTCTTTTCATGTTGGGGGAGGTTATTTTGTGTGCTTGATAGCAGCGCATGAGCTCAAGGTGAAGCAAGAAGATCGATGATGGATCTACCGCTGGATGATGAGACTCTGCAGCGTGTGTACGCTTGGATCGACGAAATCCCGCTTTCGCGGCCAAAGAAGAGCATTGCTCGTGATTTTAGCGATGGAATATTAGCAGCCGAAGTGGTTGCCTTCTACTTCCCGAAGCTCGTGCAGATGCACAACTACAGTGCTGCCAACTCGATCAAGCAGAAGCAGTATAACTGGAACACGCTAAATCGTAAGTGTCTTCCTTAGGAGAGCGCTCTATAGCAACTGACACTGGTGTGTCATTTACAGGGAAGGTGTTCAGGAAGCTCCACATTTCGCTATCCAAGGAGGATATTGACGACCTGGTGCAGTGTCAATCAGGCGCAATTGAGCATTTGCTAGTAAAGCTGCAGGTTAAGGTTCGCAACCGCATAATCTATTGCCTTCACCGCTATCTAGGCTGACCTGATTGAGTGAATAGATTGCCAATTACCGCGAGAAGCGGCCGTCGTCTTCGCCAGTACCTCAAGTACCGCGGCAAGTGAGCGACAACGCCAATGATACTAGCAGCGTTATTTCCGGAAACACAGCAGTAGCTGGCACAGTAGCCAACGGAAGTCCTATCTGTGGAAGCAACCGTGCAATGCATTCTCCGGTTGACAACCCCAGTGACTCGCGTGGTGAAATGTTGACACCAATGCGAGAATTGTTAATGCAGGACGGCGACGACGTGAATAGGTTCATGGAGGCACCAGTAGCACCTGTTCATCCCATGGATTCCATCGGAAAATCGTACACATCAAGCAACGAGAGTTCAAAGAGCGAGCATGTACGTCAAGAACTGGCTGAGAAAGACAGCGTTATCGCAGAGCTTCGCGAGACTGTCCAAATCCTGGAGATGAAAGTACAGAAACTCGAGCAGCTTGTGCGACTCAAAGATGGCAAAATTCAAACTCTCGTCGCCAAGCTACGTTCTCAAAAACCACAGACATGAACTGGGTGGTAACAGGATTTTAGTAAAGAAGTCATTCATGCTGTACACAATCAGTATGTACATTTCTACAGAACTACAAACTTTTGCTTGACTAGCCTATCCCCAAAAGCTCATGACTTGCTCTGGAGTTTCCGCTGGTTTGAGAAGCTGCAGAGAAATCTCGTCCTCGCTCGCGCGGTAGCCGAAGACTGCAGGTGCAGGACGACTACAGTGACGGCTGAACATCGACATCGTGTTGGCTCCAGTGTCGTGCACGACGACGAAATCGCCACGAGAAATGGTAGGCAACTCCACACGTCGACCAACCATATCCCCGCCGAAGCAAAGCGGTCCTACCACGTTCTGTACTGACATCGGGGCCGTAGAAATTAAACCAGCAGAACTGTTACGCATAGAAAATCAAGACAAACGTGAGAATACAACCCATTCAGTTGTGATGTCAGCAAATTAGCCGACACGTACTTGTAGACCGACATTCGACGAGCAAAGAGTTCAGGACGGTAGCACGCGCGTAGGAAGAGATCAGAGCCAGCGTGGATAATGGCGGTCTGAGTGAGGTCGTCGCCATCAACACGAGGATGAGTCTTGACGTACTCCACCTCACTAACGACCCAGCCTGTCTTCGAGCTGACACTGCTTCCAAACTCCGTCAAAATGGTGCGACCCGTACGCTCAAACAATTGCGGAGCTTCACGACGAAGAACCTCCACGTACTCAGCAAAAGTCGGAGACACATCCTCGTTTTCGAAATTTGTTGACAATCCACCACCGATGTTAAGCACCTTGATTCGACTCGTGCCCGCAGCTGCATCGATTTCGTTCGCCAATTCGCTCAATACAACAGCACCTTGTGACAACATCTCAAGCGAACACCCTTGAGAGCCAACGTGAGCGTGCAAGCCTGTCATCCACGGGTTCGCACAGAAGAAGGCGATGATCCTTGCGCGGTTCTCAGGCGTGAGTGGCACACCGAACTTGGACTGCACGGTGGACACACTGAGGCAAGAATTGGTGCCTGCTCCAAGCAGCGGGTTAATACGCAGTCCAATCCGAGGTAAATTACCGGCATAGCGAGGGGTACACTCCGGAAAACTGGACTGGAAAATGGCCTCAGCATGTTCTCGAATGATGTCGAGTTCGTCAAAGTTGTCAGCATTGACTTCCACTCCAGCGTTGATAGCGAACTGCAGATCACGTCGGGTTTTACACGGACTGTCGAACACAATACGGTGAGGTGGACAACCGAGTCGCAAAGCGTGCTTGACTTCCACAATGGACGCACATTCGAGACCGACGTCGTTTTCAATCGCTCGCTTGATGAAGAACGACAGCGGACAAGATTTCATTGCAAAACGGTGCTCAAAGTGCACAGGGAATGAGGTCAACAGTGCCTGGAATGCCATATCAATGGCGTCCAGATCGTACACGACAGCCAGCTTGGTCTCGTCCTCTGGTTGGTCTTCATTTACCAGTACACGCTCCTCAACCATGTGCTGTACCACACGTGCAACTTGGGCATCTTTGACACTGAAGTCCCAGTCGCTGAGCGGATTAAGAGGTTCTAGTGGAGTCGTCTCGACGCACTCCTCGATGTACTTGTGGTGAAGAAGTTCCCAGTGACGAAGAACCAGTGCGATCTTGTTCAGGATGTCGTCATCATCTTGGGAAAGAGGCTCTATGGCTGCCGCAAAGTCGCTTTCACCTTTGCCTCGGAGATACACGTCGTTCACCATGTCTGCACCCATAGCGATTCGAATCACAGCTCCACTTTTGCCGAGCGATACAGGCTGACCTAACAGACAACGCTTCTTGGCCAACGCATCGTCCGGTAAGGCACCCGACAGGTCCTTGGAAAGCAGAGTATGCAGTGCCTTGAGAGCTGCCATGTCGAGGAACACGCCATTCTCATCACGCACTTTGAACGATACAATGGTGTCTATAGGCGTCACTGTGCTTGTACCGTCATTCTCAATTGGCTCTGGCGGAGCCAGCAGCTCTGCCATATGCCCCCACAAAGACTGTATCTTCGTTCTGCATGCACTCATGTACAGCTTACAGATAGCTGCGATGTCTGCAGGAGGGATACGGCAGTATGGTTCCATGTTGACAAGTGCAGTTTCCCATCGCAGTAGTAGCCCGGCGTTCATATTCGTCCCCAGTCTCGCACGAATGTTACGCATTCCCTCCGGCATATCGTACTTGGAGAAATAATCTTCTAGTCCGAGAGGAATTGCCACTTCAGAGTGACGTTCGACCGCCGCGGCTTCCAGTTCATACACACAACGCATGGGCATAAGCACAGCACCGCAGAATGGAGAGCCTCCGAAGAACTTGGAGCCCGTAGTGAGCACCACATAACACTTCGTAGCCCATTCACGGTACAACGATCTATCAACGCGCATCTGACAAGCGTCCACAACCACCAGCAGTCGATTCGGATACTGCACTGCTAAAGCGTCCACCATGGGCATCGAAGGACAGGCATAGCCCGTCTTCGTTCCGACGACCACGTGCAGTAAGACCACACCTCCACCGCGATCCAGTCGCTCATGCACCAGTTCGCGAACGTCATCGTCGATAAGGTTAATATCGCCGTTATCATCTCTTGCCGGTATGGTCACCACATCCACGAGGTCAATTGGGAACTTTCGTAGCGGCTGTCCAGCTGTACCAGCCTCTCCGCTAGGCGTTAAATTGCTGAAGTGTTTGCCGCCGGAAGCAATTTTCGAGCCGCGACCAATCTCGCTTCCAGCCGTGATGATACTGGTCACTTTGCACTGTTCCGGTCCGACACCACCAGGTAAGTTCTCCTCCTCTCCCAATCCTGAGTACAGTCTAGCGAGTCCTGCAACCGTAGCCAACAGCTCTGCATCCGTTCCCGAAGGCGACAACAGAATCCTCAGCTGATTGTCACCAACCAGATCCGATACGTCAAGACAGGAGGCTACCCGTGCTCGAATTGCACGCATTTTCGTGTTAAACAGCACACTGGAACTCTTGGCATTGGGGTTGATGGACAACGAGTTCAGCAGCAACTCCTGACGCAGTTTTTCGCAGCGTTCAAAGGCTTGAAGCGTGATACTGGAACAGGTGCAGCTCCCACGTGCCACATCCGTGGCCAATGGGATCGTGGACGCGTTGTAATTGTTCGTTTTAGTGAGAGGACAAAGCGCAGATCTGTCGTCCGAACCGCGTACCAGCAGTGACTCAGTCTGCTCGGCAAAGGGCAGTGCGTTGGCTGCGAACTTAACAATCTCATTCCACGCATCGCCGTGGCACGGAATGTGCAGTAGGGTGGCGAGTCTTGAGAACAGCTCGGTGGTGTTTCCCACAGTGGCCAATTGACGTACGACGCGCACTTCTTCCTGTCGGGTTCGAACCACAGCCGCGGCTTCAAGAGGCGACGCAGAGGAGGCCACTGCATTGGCGTATTCTGCCAGCTCGGATTGAGAAAAAGTCTCGAGGTATTTGAGCTTCGTGTACAGCAGCACCAAGTCGCGTGCACTGTAGCACGGCGAGTTGCGGTTAAGTTCAGGCAGACACAACAGTCGGTCTTGTAGCAGCGCACTCAGTGCCACGGCCTCGGAAGGTTTTTGAAGGTTCCAGGGCCGAATTGGTGTCGGTAACGACTTCAAAAGAGGCAGCAGCTCCGGGCGCGTATCGGCCACTTGGTCGCGCAGCTCTGTGGTCAGTCGTTCGAGCTCTTCGGGACGATGACGGAGGTGCGGATCTGTAGACGAATAGGTGGGCGATCGTTTGGTGTCGGATGGAGGCGACGCCACGCGCGGAGAATGCGTCTTGGCCGTGCGCACTTGCGTCGCTAAGGTCGAGAGCTTCTTGTGGTTCAGCATTGCGGAGTACTGTTGACGTGGTCGTGGGGCCTTGGACGCAAGTGGAGGAGTGACAGGATGTTGGGTCGCGGGCGCCGCTTCACTTTTATGTGATACGGTGGCTTGTCTTCAACTTTGTGGGAGTCAAGAGTCTGAAGGGATTCCGTGTAGTTGCCGTTACGTATCTTCGCGAAACGAATAGAGGAGAAGGGTAACGTGGCTGAATGGAATGGAGTGCAATGAGGACAAGTCTGTCTTGTCCTCGATCATAGTGCTGAACATTGACACCTCCATTGCAGCTTGCAATGTCCTTGCGCTGTGGATACCGCCGTTGGACCCTCCATCACCGGAAGGTATGCTTGACAGAAAAAGTGCGAGTATCTAAAAATGATTGGCAGCCTTCATTGAAGTCCACGGTCTAGATGATGGCACCGTCCTGTAGCGCAATGCAGCAGGCTACAGTACGACGTCATTGTTATAGATGGCGCCACAGGCCCTAACATCCTGAGGTGGCGGTAGGCTGCCTACTGACTTCGCTTGCATTTCATCCTTCAACAGCATGCGCTGTGGTCCAAGTGTCTTGGAGGCAACAACCCGCAGTTCCGTTCAATGGTAACAAACAAACTGATTTCAGTCTTGATCCAGTCGGTTTTCTGATCACAGAAAGGCTTTCTGTCTCAACGAGTAGAGCGCCGTTGCTGAAGTTTCACACAAGCTTTAAATGTCAAATCCAGTGTCTAAGTCAGAACAAATGACAATTCATGTATATTGTGTAATGTCCTTTTTTGCTTTTTAGTCTCGTCGGAAATAGTCCCAAATAGTCCAATCATCGCCATCCATTTCGCTCCAGTCAATCATTATCACCGGTGCAATGGCTCGTTCTTCTGCGCCTCGACGCTCCACGGTGCTGCGTTTCCAGGGGTGTGCGCACTTCCGTCAGCGTCTAGTATGCGCCACACTCAGCGGTCGGCCACTGATCATCGAGGACATTCGCTCAGAGGACGAAAACCCTGGCCTCACAGCGTTCGAAGCGAGTCTATTGCGACTATTGGACCGCGTGACGAGCGGTAGCCACTTGGAGATCAACGAAACAGGTACCAAGCTCAAGTTCCAACCAGGAATCGTGCTAGGTGGTCGTATAACCCACGACTGCGGCACTGGACGCGGCGTCGGCTGGTTTCTCGAAGTTCTTGCAGCTCTCGCACCTTTCGCCAAGTTGCCACTACACGCGACACTGGACGGCGTGACCAATGACCACGTGGACAGTTCGGTGGACAGTTTCAAGGCTACGACACTGCCGTTGCTGCGGCATTTCGGTCTGGAAGAAGGTCTGGACCTAGTGGTCAAGAAACGCGGCGCTCCTCCGCTTGGAGGTGGACAGGTTATCTTCCGGTGTCCTCTGGTACGTCAGCTCAAGGCCATCCACTTGGTCGACGAAGGCTTCATTAAGCGTATCCGCGGCGTCGCGTACAGTACACGTGTGTCCCCACAGACATCCAACCGCATCGTGGAGACCAGTCGAGGACTCTTTAACAAGCTGCTACCTGACGTCTACATCTACTCTGACCACTACAAGGGCAACGAGTCCGGACAATCTCCAGGTTTTGCATTGAGTTTAGTGGCCGAGACGACAACCGGTGTCTTCCTGGGAGCTGAGGCCGCTGCAGAGCCTGGAGATCTACCAGAAGATGTGGCTACACGAGCCTCACACGCGCTGTGCGAAGAGATCCAGAAAGGAGGATGCGTGGACTCGACCAACCAGGCTCTTGCGCTGCTGCTCATGGCTCTCGGACCAGAAGACGTCGCCAAGGTGCGTGTGGGCAAGCTCACGCCCTACAGTATCGAGTGTCTACGTCACCTGCGCGACTTTTTCGGTGTCACGTTCAAGATCAAACCCGACCCGGAGACCAAGACTGTGCTGCTCTCCTGTCTGGGTGTGGGCTTCAAGAACTTGGCCAAGAAGGTCACTTAAGCTCAGTGGTTATAGAACAATGCATTTTGGATATATAGATGCGTTATCCTTGTCTGTATAGGCTTCATCTCACTCATTTGCGGCGCATCTTAGACGCTTTAACAGCTTCACCACCCGCTGCTCCCATCTTCATCGCAGGCTTCGGGACCGGCGTGGCTCCACCTCTTACGGACGGATGAATTGCAGTCAAGTTTGTCGGCAGTTGATCACGAGCGCGACCTGGTTCACGGAGCTTATGACGAGCAGCAAGCAGCCACTTTCGAGCCAATGCAGTAGACGAAGCATTGAGTGCCACTGGCTGTCGAGTCCATTCGAAGTGATGTTGCATCGTTTCCTCTTCGTCGTCACTCACATCGAGCTGTTGACGACGCTTTCCAGTCTTCCCGAACACTCGCTCTTGAGCTTTACGATACCATTCCTTCAGCAGAGCATAAGACGCAGCGTTCAACGGAGTAGCAGTCAGGCCTTGGTCTCCCACGCCATCATCACCCCGGCCGATACCACGCAGATCTCCAAGCTGACCGGTGGTTTTGAGGTGAACGATGCAGTTAAGACAGAGCGTTTTAAACTTCTGGTGCTTGGTAAAGAACTCTTTCCAGGCTGCAGCATCGAACTCTTCAGCAAGGTTTTGACTGTCAAACTTGTCACCAAGTACTTCGATCGGAATGGACATTTCGACTTGAAGCTGGCGACGAGAGAGGCACATTTCGCACTCACTCTTACGAGCTGCTTGAATCAGAGGCTGCACGACGGTCTTTAGACGCAGAATACGTCGCGCACGAGCTAACCAGAGGCGGATAATTGTGCGTGAAGGTGCAGATAACGTCACTGGGCCAAAGCGAGGACGACCGTCGTCGTCTTCTTCATCGTCCGAGACTTGAGGGTTCAGACTGTCGAGGATCTTGGCGAATTGAGCCAACAGATATGGCCTTGCACGACGTAAGGTACGTGGAGTGAGGATTGATGGCAACTGGTTCACTAGCCATGAGCGATTGTAGTTTAGGAACTTGTTACGGAATGTATCGGATGTGATGCGTTGGTTCATCATGTAGGCTTCGTGTGAAGCTCCTTTGATTTTCTCCAACTCACCCCAACGTGGCACACCAAACTCATCATCTTCATCAGGTGCTGCTAGCCAAGCAGTGTTCTCGTGTTTGATTTTCCAGATCTCAAAGCGTACAGCTAGGAACATCACCAGCGCACGTACGAAAACGGAAACTGCGAGCACGAATGCGAGCAGTAGTGGCATAGCGGGGTCACCAAAGAGGTTATAGCTTGCTCGGGCCATGATCTCAATACCCACCACGAAGAAGACAATTCCAGTGATGTGAATAGTGCACATCATGAAGAACTGCGATGAAAAGCACATTTGGTCCAGAGTACGTAGTCCTTCGTCGATACATTCGTCCAAATTCGGCTCCATACCTTTCCAGCGTTTCTCGCGTTGCAAGAAGCGGTATCGGCAGTAGACGAGGTAATCGTATAGTTTCCAGCCCTGGAAAATCTCGACTACGTTCAACACAAACACCTCCGTCACGAGTTGGAATAGCAAGATAATCAGCGAGTACCAGAGATAAATTTCCATATCCTTCTCACGAATATTGTACAAGATCGGAAGCATGACTTCCTCCCGGAAGAACATCATGATGAGGATCAGTACAGGTTGATAGAATAATGCCAGTCGCTCCATGGACGCCATTGCGTAGAAGTCGATAATGGGCTCCACCGTCTCCGCCTCACTACTCTCTTCAGCTTTAGCTTCTTCCTTGCCTTTATTCTTCTCCTTTTTCGTCGCCTCAGTATCCGCGACAACAGCAGTTGAACGCGTAAAGCTCCTGAATAATAGAAGTGTACCACGTCCGATAATTTTCATTTTACCCCACACATATCGTGCAATATCTTTCACAAAATCCGTGATCGCTGCGATGACTGTGTCTGCATACACGCGCATCAAGATCATCATACCGAAGTCGAGCGTATTGCCCAGAACGAAATCTCCAAAGTCTGTGGCTCCGAACGTCATAATTCCTCCGATAAGACTGAGAGCTGAGACCAATGGGGCCATCAACAAAGCCTCCTTCAACTGGGATTCGATCCATCCTTCCATGATTGCGTTGATAATCTCTTGAGCTACAATCACGTAGAACATGTAATCTCCGAACGAACTCCAGAATGAAAATTCGAGCATTAAAACAAGGAAAAGACCCAGCATAATTGACGCAAAGATCATATTCGCTCGTTTCCATTGAGTAGGCCACCAGATGCTGCGCTCCTGGGCATCACGATCATTCTGCTCAGCCATGACCTTTTCGGAGATCGCGATAGGCTTAGGAAGGAAGATACGAGTGCCTAGTACAATCAGATAGAGACCGAAGAAGAGGAAACATACCCCGATGCGTCCCTTTCGAGTTTCTGCGACCTCTTCAGGATTGATTTTGGTATCGAGGAAGTGTCGGATGATGTTATCCATAAGCCAGTAGCCACTTGAACTGAAGAATTGATCACCGTTCAGTAATAAGTAAAAGCTGAAGACCACTGAGAAAATAGGAAGTGAAGCTATTGCTACACCAACAGAAGGTGGCGGGGCGATTAAAGCGAACACAGTCCAGAATCGGAAACGTGGGGGTGACTGGAGATGCGACGTAACACGCACCACAATCCAGAAAATAAGCGCACCGACAGTCATCATGCCGCCAAGCACGAAAAATAATCCTACGAATACTTGCTTCTCGAATGCGAACTGAATAACGAGCTGGAAGTAGTTGAGTGGATGAAGATTGACACTGAATGTGTACGCAGTGTTTGATGAGTCTCGATCGTAGTTGTCGTACACTAAAGTTGCCATAATGATGCGCTTGACGTGAGAGTCTAGCTGGTAGTACGCAACATTAAGGGTTACTGTTCGCGGGAAACACAAGGTCGAGCAATCTCCTTCCAGTGACTGAGCGGCTGAGTTGTCAACCGTAACAGGGATGAAATAGTCCGAACCATATTCGTCCAAAATCTCATCGTAGTACTGACCACCTCGCAAATAGTCTGCCAGTGTACCTGGTTCACGCAACAGATAGTATAGAACAGTTCCTTTAGACTGTTCAAACCAACGCGGAGTCACATCTGCCGTCGCTAAATCCTCTTCGAAATGACACTGGAGATTCATCATACAAATGTCGGCGGTCGGTTCTTGAGCAACATCTAATGGCCCCACGTATCGAATATCGTCTTGATTTGGTAGTGGTGGGAACTTGCGTCGCCACCACGTACGCCCATATTTTCCAGTCTCGGACGTCATAGCTGGTAGCTGACATTGATCACTTTCAAAGAGATCGAATAGAGGGATATACGAATCGTATTCCATACAGTTTGAGAAGAACGGTAAATACGACATCAGCAACTTATCAAACTTGAACAGATACTGCGTGCCAGTGGTATCTGACGGATCCAGATACATTTCTTGAAACGTTTCACGGTATTTTTCAACTTTCTCATGAGTCAATGCCGCTGATCCGTAGGGCATCAACCAGTACGACGTGTCTGTAACAACATCCTTGTAAGGATCAGCCACAAGCGGTACTTTAGCAGTACTACTAACGTTGTGTGACAAGAGCACGCGACCTCTCTCGTACGCTTCGTATTTTGGCGGAAGATTAAGTGGTGGTGACGTATAGTCCCCATCCCCACCGAAGTACGCAATGAGGAACGTGTAGTCACGAGGTACCAGCTTTGCTTCGTACGAAATAGAGCGCGATAAAGGTCGCGTGTCGGCTGTCACGCCTTGTGTAACGTTGCTTCGTGTCGGTGTCTTGAGCTTCACAGTTGTTGAATTGACGAAAAATGGTGCGACGGAAGCATACAATCCATACATAACGTGAATTTCCACTTTGAAAGTCACATCCTCCAGCGCAAGTAATGTAATATTAAGCAGGTCATTCTTGTTGACGGCAGTCGATAAGAACCAACGTGGAAGCTCAACTGGTCGATGACACGGAGACGTCTCAATATCAGGTCCACTCGGTAGAACAACTCCACGGGAATCACAGATTTGGTCTTCACAGGTACTGTTCTTAACAAAAATTGCAATCTTGTAGTGTTCATCGTAGACTAAATCGCCAGGAAGATGACGGAAATCAAACGACAATTTAGCCTTTCCGAGTCCAGTGAGAGCAAACCACGCCTTGTCATTGTTTCGGAACCCTTCCTCGGCTTCCACTCTCTTCAGACAACTTGTCATGAGTTGTTTTATGTTCAACGCTGCTGCTTGTTTGGCTGAAACGATGTTGAGTATAGCCGTAGTGGTGGAAAAGTGAACACCATAGTTGGAGACACTCACTTTCACGGCTTGAGAGAACGAAGTCCCGGTCGCTGCAGTATCATTGCCAATAAACGGAGGAGCACGACACGTCACTCTAGTGCTGCTTTTGAAGAACGCCGGTGAAATTTGAAAGAACGACGACTTCGGTAGTTGAAATTTACACACAAGACGACCAGTATTTTGGAAATTGCGACCAATTACAGTCAATAACACGCCACCAGCAGGAGCGATTTTTTGCGGACATACGCGAATAGTATCTACCGTGTCGTTTTTCCAGAACGGCACAGAAGCGGATTCATTCACTGGGTACACGACGTTCACAGCTTCCACTTCTCCCGTGCGACTGGTCTCCCTTGTGGAGTCGAAACTCACTCGAGTTCCTTGGAAATCATAACTGAACTGCGGGTAATACTGCTTTTCCGGTAGTTTATCACAAATCGGCACCGCTCGAATACTACAGTCCACTAGTTCGTCCTCATTTGAGCTTGACCATGTGCCACTGGGGCAGCTGATGTAGATACTACTACTGTTTGCTGTACCAAGCGGACAAAACTTGCCATCTGGACATTTGCTTTTGTTTTTCTCGATTGTTTTCGTTCCACGAACACAAATGTTACCTTTTTCGCATACATTAGCGTATTGTTGGCTAATTGGAGTTGCAGAAGAGCAATAGTGGCCAGCAGGACACAAGTGATCAAACTGAGCTCGCCTGTTTGTTCCCTCACCACATACATACCCTGCAGCACAAGGCAAACTTGAAGCCATTGTGATCATACCCGAACTACCACATACCCGTCCAGCAGGGCAAATTTCACAGTATGAAATATCTGTTAAGCCCGTGTTAGGAGACCAGGTACCTTCCGGACAAGCTCGACACGTGATACTGTCAGCTAGTGATCGATAGAAGCCGCGAGGACATAACGATGGAATGTACGTGCCGTATCCGGGACAGCTATGACCAGCAGGACATATCTCACATTCGACAGTAGCTTTCAAAGGTGTGTAAGTTCCAGGAAAGCACATCGTCGAGACTACGGACCCAGTTGTACCCGCAAAACTTCCCACTTGAGCTTGTATCGGAGCACTCGAACCAGGAGGACAATAGTGGCCAGCATAGCAGACACCAGTACCAGAAAGAGTCGGAGTCGCTTCTTCACAATACGTGCCTTCGGTACAAACTTGAGGAGCTACAGCACCCTCCGGTCGACTGGGAATCCAATCAATTGTAGTGTTATGAGCCACTCCACCAAGACAATAAGTCCCCTTTGGACAGGGCATTGGGCGGAATGGATTGGTATCGGACGGATCAAGCGTTCGTGTGCCCTCCCGACAGATATATCCTGCGGGACAGAGCAGTACTGGTGCAGCCAGACCAGTAGAAATACAGACAAACCCAGCAGGACATAATACTGGTTCCAACATCTTCGGTTGAGGACACACATGGCCAGTCGGACATAATGTACAATTCGACTGCTTTGGAAAAGGATTGTACGTTCCGGGGTAGCACTCTCTCGGTCGAAGATTCCCGACTCCGGGACAGTATTGACCAGCAGGACACACAATAGCATCGACGTCATTCAAACAATAATGACCCGTTGGACACGGACCCTTGCCTTCTGGAGTGGACGATCCACGCGGACAGAAGAAACCAGGGTAACATTTCTGTGGCGCGCTGTAATTATTCGCCTGTAATTGCTGGACAGCGACACCACGTCGACAAAAAGTTCCAATTGGACACGAATAGGGTCGTTCAGCAAGAAGATCTGTGCTGGTGGATTCTTGATTATGTGTATTTTCCACACATAGTCGAAAGTCGCAGTTACTCAAACTTGGAGGATGTTCGATACGACGGCTTTCGATAGCAGGAGCAACGCGAGGGATCAATGCCCACGCTCGAGAAGTCTCCACAAAAGTTGCGAGTTGTGTCTCCTTGTCAATCGAGTACTCGGAATTTGTGGTGAAGTCGTGGATATCTGCCGTTTTTGTCCCTTTTCGACAATAATGACCCGAAGGACACGCCTTTACCGGTGTGCGCAGTCCGTGTTCATCACAAACCATTCCAGCGCGACACAGCAAAGGCTTTGACATTCCGTGATCTGGACAGAAATATCCAACCGGACACGGTAAACTCGTCACCTGGTTTTGTCTTGGTTGGAAAGTTCCAGGAGCACAAAGTGAGAAGTTTGTACTGCCGTGCGAGTCACAAATCGTTCCATTGGGACACGCTTGGATGTTTCCGTTAGTGCAGAATTGTGAGCTTGGACATTTTTGCAAATACGTGTACTTTAGACCACTGTCTGTAAAATCCACCTGGTTGCTCGTCAATTCCACCGAAACAGTACCATTTGAGCTTCTCAAATCAATCAATTGTCGTGGAGCAACACAAACAGCGACAGAGTTGGAGAGGTATGTGGCAGGACTTAGGATTTCACCAAACCGACACGCTAAAAGTGAGTGGTTCACAAAGTTTCTACCTTGGAAAAACACGGTAGTTCCTCCCTCTTTCAATCCTTTTGAGGGTAATAATCGTGTTACCGACATATCCTTAACATACAAATATGAAGCGGAGCTGGTTGATGCATCCATTCCATTGTTTGTGACACGGATAGTCACTTTCCCAGGGGAGTCTCGTGGTACCGCACAGGAAATCATAGTGGGATTGATAAACGTAGCAGGAACCTTTACTGAGCGGAAGATGCATGCCAGATCAACTGAGTTCATGAACCACCTTCCTCGAACTGTCATTACTGTGTTCGCATCAATGCTTGGCCCCAAATCGGGAATCAATTCGTAAATCACAATGTCCTCGACAAATTCAAAGTACAAGCTTGGTGTTGTGAAAACTGATTCCTCAAAACCTTGGCCAATTTCTTCGGACGACAGTCCATTGATACTCACTTGTGCGAGTTGTTTACCAGGTTGTTTGACGGTGGGTGTGACACATTTCACCACATTTGATGCCAAGACTTGTCCGATAGTATTGATACCCCCAATTCGACAAGTAACAACACCGTCATAGTTAATTTCGAGATTGTACCATCGAATCAACAGCTCGGTGCCCCCAGAGATTCCGCCAAACTTCGGTGTAATCGATACTAAATCTGCAGTTGTAGTGTAAGTGAAAAACACCGGATTGGGTGTGAAGGTGGAGTTGTTATTCGTCACTGCAACGCGTACAACGGTCGTCAAGTCACGCTGAGGTGGAGAGAAGCAAACTACTTCTGTTGATGACACATACTTCTCCACTTGGACTGCTTCGAGGTCTCCAAATTTGCACCTTAGGTGTGAACCTTTTCGAAAGTGCATTCCAAATACTGTCACTGCGGTTCCACCCGTTTGAGGTCCATGTGTGGGAGATATGTACTCGACAAACGCGTCAGTGTACACCAAAATGCTAGTCGGACTATTTGAAAACACTTTACCGTCATTCGTAACCTGGAAAGCATATTGATTAGGTTGGAGCCGAGGTGTTGTACACACAACTTGTTCAGAAGAATGATACCTTGCTCCAACGACAACAGATCCAAAACGACAAGCGATCTCCAAAGAGTTAGAGAAGTATAGACCGCGTACAGTAATTAGTGTTCCTCCGATAATAGGTGCTTCAGGCGGATCAATTGACAAGATCATCGGGATAGGAAGTAACTTCTTTTTATCCTTCATCAAGAGTTGTCTACGTTTGGTAGCTTGTTCCGGCGTTCGGTACGTAAAACGAATCTCTTGAGAAGGAATTTCAGCTCCGTGATCCAATAATTTGACAACAACGTTACCAAAAGTTGCTTGACTTGGTGACTCGCACTGGAGCAGATTGGGGCTCACCACATAGGCTGACGCGTATACATTACCAAAGCGACAGTGTGATACGGTGTTCAGTCGAGATCCCACGAAAGAAACTAGTTCTCCACCTTCCATGTCGCCGATAAGTGGGTCGACTGAAGCAATAAGTGGAGGCTTCACAAGCTCTATAATGCCGAAACTCTGGGACTTCAGCTTACCGTCATTTGAAACGTACAGATTGAAGAATCCTGGTGTCAGAGATGGAGTTGAACAGTGGACTTTAGATGACGATTCGTAGATTGCAGGAACCGCTACGTGGTCGAAGAAACAGCTCAGATTGGCGCTGTTACGTGCATTCTCGGTGATAACAGTAATTCTGCCGCCTTTTATTGAAGGCATACGCACTGGTGACACAGACTTCACTTCTTCTGCAGCAGAATAAGTGAAAAATACGGGATTCGTAGAGTAATCCAGATTATTGTCAGCTACAACGACTTGAAGACGCTGTGGATTGGTCTGTGCTGGGATTGTGCACTTCATCTGAGTGGCAGACAGCACCTCAGAGACAGTGGCCGGAGTAGAGCCGAAGTAGCAGGTCGATTCGTTAACTTTGAAGTTTTCTCCGTGCACAAGCACTGTCGTTCCACCCAATCGTGTACCACTATTGGGAGTTACTTGAAGAATTGAAGGTGGAAGCTGGAAAGTAAATGTCTGGACAGCACCACCATTCAAACAATCTTGGCCATTCATGCTGACTCTCACCGATGTTGACTTTATCCCAACATAAGGCGTGGAACACTCTATCATCGATGAGTTGACAAATGTGGCTGGAACTTGAGTATCATCGAAGCAGCAGGAAAGCTGAGGTGTGAACATGAAGTGCCACCCAGTGATAATTACTTTGGTTCCGCCACGATATGTTCCCGTTACGGGGTAGACCTTATCCATTACGATTGGGTGGTGTACTTCCAGTAGCAGTGATCTGCTTGAAACCTCCACGCCGTATGATCTGATACTCACTTCGACGGAGCCCACGCGATTTAAGGATGGGGAAATGCAATTCAGTCTGGTATCGCTTAAGAATTCTGCACGAGCGCATGTTGATTTCAGTTCAGAACTACCGAAGCAACACTCGAACTCTGCATCTCGTCTGAAGTTGGCACCAAATATCACGAGGTTGCATCCGCCACTACTATCGCACAACCACGGCTCCAATCTATGCAGGACAACATCGTCGTAATACAAAAACTCCATATTCTGTAATCGAGCAGCCGATATTCCATTCACAAATAGTGAAATCAACCCTCTTCCAGAATGTTTGCCAGGCGGAACGATACAACTAACTCCCGCGGGTGATTCATAATTGGCAATCGTCTCGCTAAAAGTCTCGTCATCTTGTATGAACTGACAAATTGTTTTTGTAGTGCTCATGAACAGAGCCCCATTAATGCAAATTGAATAACCTCCAGCCAAAGGTCCAGTACTGGGTGTTACTGTATATACCGATGGGAGGCGAAGATACGTAAAACTTGACGCCGCTAACGTAAAATCCTGTCCGTTCAGTGAAAACGATAGACTTGTATTTCCTATCGGGTGAGGTGGGGCCTCACACGATATTGTTGAGTCATTCCAATACGTTGCAAAAGTTCGGATGTTGTCAAAGCGACATTCCAATCCAGTAGAGTAGCGAAAGTAACGACCGTGCAGAAATATCATCGTTCCGCCATCAATGTCACCAAATGTTGGTGAAACATCTTCAATTATGGCGTCAAGAACGTATTCAAACTGCATTTTGAGCGTGACAAAGTCCTGGCCATTCAAAGCCAAGAGAATTGGAAGTCGCTGTGAACCAACTCTAGTCACTGAAAGTTTAGCGGGGGAAGGTGGGGTTATGCACTCAATAACAGTAGCGTTTAACAGCCACCCCTGAGTACAGTGATATCGATCTCCAAAGCAGCATTGCGTAAGCCTTGAAGAATACAGGTTAAGGCCTGTGATTTGCATCAACGTTCCACCAGTCGCTGGACCAGACACAGGAGTGATCTGACGGATTCGTGGAGATAGCACGTATGTATACAGCACACCATTTTGGGTAAAGTCCACGCCATCATTCAGGGATACCTCAACGGATACTGCTTCAGCGAAGCGATTGGTGGGTGCGACGCACTGTAGCTCCGAGTCTGACTCCACGTACGCCTGAACAATAGTTTCTCCAAATTTGCACAAAGGAGATTCAGAATAAAATCCCTCACCGGTGACAGTGACCAGAGTCGACGCATCCATGGAGCCCCTTGTAGGAGATATCTTAAAGATTTGTGGCTTTACATGGTAGCTGAACGTCTGCTTCGTTGAGACAAAATCGCGGCCATTGACTGAGAGATAGACAACAACTTCTCCAGTAATAAACGCGAAGGGTGGGGTGATGCATATCAATTCCTCGTCACTCACAATTGTTGCCTCGACAGGATCCGTATAGTTACCGAATCGACACCAGCATCTGTAGGCATTATCGAAATGCTTTCCACTAATATAAACTGCTGTCCCACCTTCGGTACTTCCAGCAGAGGGAAATATTTCGGATACGTCAAACTTCGTACGGAAATGAATTATCGCTGAGCTGCTTGCATACACAAAGTCAACGCCGTTGTTGGTCAAACCAATTTGAATGTCCCCGACCGATATGTTTGCTGGGGGAGAGTAGCATTTAATATGCGTGGAGGATACCCAGATCGCATGTACTAATTGTCCGGTGTTATCAGAATCTCCACTAAATGTACACCCAAGCAGCGGCGAACGCACAAAACCACGACCATAAACATTAAACAGCGTTTCTGTTTTTTCGATTGCTTCCGTTGGTGACACCATCAATACCACTGGTTCTTTCGTGTACGTGAAGGCATTCGAAAGAGTTCCACGCAATCGCCGCGTTACCGACCAAATAACAACATCAATATTGCCAATTTTCAAGACGCTGGGACTAGTGCAGATGATTTCTGTTGATGAACTCACTATAGCATACTGATCGCTGTTATAGTCTCCAAAACTACACACAATTGTTTCGTTCATCGAAAACTCGCCACCGTAAATGTGTACTACAGTGCCTCCTGATATCGCTCCATTGATAGGAGAAATGCTTTCAATCATGAAATCCATTAGGTACTCGAAAAACTCTGATGCAGGCGATAAATCAACCTCATTGAACGAAACGGCCAGTGATACACGTCTTGGAGTAGTTGACATTGGAATCCGGCATCGAATTTGAGTAGAACTTATAAAGGTTCCTTGAGAACACAGAGACCCAAATCGACAATCAATACGTCGGAATGGTACAAAGTTCTTTCCCGTGATAGTCACGTAGTCAACGATATCTTCACCAGGAGCCGAAGACATGTACACTCCTCTGGACTTTGGAGTGTAGTCAAATATCTCCGGTGGTTGAAGTATCTCTACCTCGACAGCGTTTATCGAATACTCGATACCAGCATTAAGTAGTCTCACAACCAGTGTCCTTGATTTAAGTAGTCGTGCTGGTGGCGTCAGACATGATACCGTTGTTCTAGACACAAATCTACCAATTGTAGTCACGTTGAGACTGTCGAATCTGCACTGCCAATCACGTGATGGGAACACGTCCAGACATTCAAGCTTGATTCGATCTGTTTGGGTCGGAATTATCGCATTTGGAACAGCTCCAGTCAATACCACCGGCCCAAAAACAGTGAAGCTGAAGCCAGTCTCGAAATATGTCCCTCCACTTATGCTTAAGCCAATCGGAAGCATTCTGGACTTTTGATGTCCGGTTGAATTGATTATCACCATGCACGTAAGTTCATTACTTGCAACAGTCGTCGCTGGAATGTTTACAGCATCCATTCCAAAGCGGCATGCTGTTGTCATTTTTTGAACGAATCCGGTGCCAAAGATCTTGACAGAGTGGTTTTTGTTGTACATACCACTTGAAGGCTCGATACTTTGAATTAACGGTGTGTTGATATAGGAGAATGTCACTTTCGCGTCGTTAGTATTGGAGGTAGAAATTTGCCCTAACGAGACGGAAAATGGTACTTTGCTCGCTGCCTTGAACACGGGAGGACTGACGCACGTAACGTAGGAATTATTCACGTAGTGCGCAGGTACAGATATCTCCCCAAATCGACACCGAAGTTCATGACGATTAACGAATCCCTTACCACGAACATGAACTTGAGATCCGCCACGAGTTAGACCAATCAGTGGAGCAGCATTCGCAATTTCCATAGCACCAACAAACGTGAAATTGAACACTCTAACGATATGGGCAGCTCCTGATTCCTCCACTACCACAATCTTCAGCGCTACTGATCCAGCGGAATGCGAATTCGTTTCGCATTCTGCGTACTTAGAGTTTAGCACGGTAACAATCGTCTGAAGACTTCCATCAAATACGCAGTACAATCGAACCAAAGGATTCCAGTTCCTGCCTTCAATCCGGATAATCTCATCGCCGCGGAATGATCCATACATTGGCGTTATCCTCAAAATTCGAATCATCGGAGTCAACTTGACATGCTTTCCTGTGTGTATAAAGGTTTGGTTGTTAACAGACAGTAAGGCATCACACCCTGACGAGCAACGTTCTGCGGTCGGTCCAGCTTTAAACACTTGGCATGAACTATTCAGAATTTCCCCAGCACTCCCCATAACAATATAATTTTCCTCTGTACTCTCGTCAAATGTGTCCAGTCTTAAGAAATGGGGAGACGAGATGTTTGGGAAGGCTCCACAAAGTTGAATTCGTTGGAAACCTCTACCAATATCTGGGATAATCTCGATCGATTCAATTTGCGGTGTTAGTGTGTATACCAACTCAAACTTCTCTGTAGCATAGTCTTCAGCACCACTAACCACCGAAACCCTTACCCGGGAAGAACTAGAAAGAGACATTGATGGCGGCACAGCACACGTTATCTTACCGCTATATAGCGCAGCATCAGACCATAACGTTCCGAATAAACAACGAAGTGATTCCGCAAAAAACAGATTCAGACCCCTGAATTCTACTACAGCGCCACCATAGACACTATCAAACTGCGGAGTCATACTGAGCAGCGTTGGTTTGGCCTTAATGGTCAATAAGAGACCAGTTGACACGACAGTATCTCCATTGAAACTAACGCTAATTGATTCAAGACCTGGCTTAAGCCGTGGAAGTAAGCAGCGTATCTCCTCGTCACTTACGAAAATCATGTCATAATGAGCTTTCGAATTACCGCTGTAACTGCAGTATCCTGCTCCAGAATCGAGAAATCCCACGCCAAATATTGTCACGAATTCACCAATATGTTCGCTGATAATAGCTGGGCTGAGAGACATAAACTCTGGTTTTTCTGTGTAGTGAAAGGAAAAAGGCACTTGTAAAATATCTTTTGCACTGAAGAATAACCCCATTTCGACGGTCATAGTATCCTCAGCAGGTGGCGAAGTACACTCCAATTCATTTTTGCTCATGAATCGCGATGGAGCAATTCCGGTCTCGCCAAAAGCACAAAAAAGAGCAACATTTTCTTGGATTATAGAGCTAGAAAAATTCCCTTTAACGACAACGTTTGTTCCACCTGTAACATCTCCATATTTTGGCTCCGTGGAAAGAATACTTGGCAGCGAAAATGCATTAAACCAGAGTGGAGTCACCATCTCCCACTGCTCACCTTCAGACCGAACGATGAAGTTGTGTCGCCCAGGCTTTGTGAAATGAGGAGAGATACACTCGAGCTCTTGACTCGACACAAATGCTGCGAATACTGAAACATCTCCGAAAACGCATTCTATAGTATGCGAAAAGATCATTCTGAACCCGTGCACCACAACAGCAGTGCCACCTCGAATCCAACCTGACATAGGCTCGATAAAACGGATCGATGGCTTAGGTTCGTATTTACGGGGCGGCATGGGATCAATCATGGTATCGACAGACATTATGTTACCGTCGGACTCGTTCGATGTCTTCTGGATGTCACTTATTTCAGGTAATGTAACATATGTGAACATGAAATATTCCTCCAGAACATTCAGATCTCCAATAGTAAAGTGAATGGGAACCGTCATGGAGCGAGAAGCAGGGGTTCGGCAGCGAATCAAGGTCGCGTTCACGAACGTTGCGATTGAGGATTCTCCCTGAACGCGGCACTTCATATCGAGATCTCTCGAAAATCCTTGACCAACTATATCCACAATTGTTCCACCGCTAGTACTGCCATTGTCCGGGGATATGGAGTGGATTATGATTTCAGATTTGTACTCAAAAGGTATCAATAATAGTGGAAACAAGAGCGATGTAGTCGGCAAAAGTTGAAAACTTCCGGTTGTAGGCATTTGGTTTGGTGCTTCACATTTCACTTTTGTCCTTGAAACATATTCAGCATTTGATGACACCCAATCTTGCTCCTGCGCACCGCGAAAGCCACATCTCAGACGCATCCAGCGCTGGAAACCCTTACCAGAAACGGTAAGGTCGATCTTACGCGTTGATAGTGCAAATGGAGGATTTACTTTTTCCACCTGGATAGGCACGTGAGCAGTAAACAATGTCCGAATCGACAAAAAATCGCGCCCGTTTGGTGAGAACAACACCGAGTAAGATCCCGGCTTCAATCGTGGCACTTGACAACCTAATGATTCTGTATCAGTGGTACCCAGAACACCCTCAAATTCAGCATCTACTCCCACAAACTTACAGCTACGATTTTCGTAGCCACTCCACGATGCATTCAGCTCAACGTTGATAGAATACCCTCCAGCCGCCGAACCGAAGTCTGGTTTCAATACAGTCGTTTCGGGGATACTATCAACAAACGTGAAAGGGGATTGATATAGTCTCTCAGTGCGTCCTTCTAGAGTTTCAAGAACCACAGACAACTCAACTTGACCAGCCATCCAATTCCGACGAGTTGAGCACCTTAAATGATATGCTGAGATGAAAAAAGCCTGGACACGCGTTGCTGAAGAGCCGAACGCGCAATAAATAAGGTCATCGCGGGCAAAATTGGCTCCAAAGAAGTCGACGTCAAATGATCCTCCGGTAGGAACGATATGTGGTCTAACGCGCTCAATACGAGGTGGGTTGGCGTACTGTATGTGGAAAGCTCCCAGTAGTTCCGAACCAGCAGCACATGTGATTTCAAGTGTATAGTTTCCTGGTATTTTGGCTGGTAGCGCGCATTGCATCGTGTTCTCCGACTTTACGCCACCTAGAATGGTATCCTGGCCTATATGACAAGCCAGATCCATTGAAGAATCAAAGCGAAAACCAGCAACAAATATCACATTACTATGTCCTGGTCTCATCACTGTTGGCAACAGTCCGTAAACTGAGCTTGGGCATCCAATATTCATGGTAACATCTTGTTGCAACAGCATTTCTCCATGTAGAGTTAAAGTAAGCATCTTCGGACGAGTCTGTTGCGTTAGTGGATCCGAAATACAGTCCAGCCCGTATGATGTAACATTTCGGGCTAGTCCTGTCGATGGTTTGCTGTCAAATAGACATTCATACTCATCAATCGACGAAATATTTGATCCTTCAATTCTAGCACTCCATCGTCCATCGTGTAGTTCCTTAAACGATCGGATAAATAGTCCGCTTGGTAAGTCATAAAACTCCACATCTACCGTGTTACCACTGACTTCGATACCATTCAAGCTGACTCCAAGCGAGAGAGTACCTGCTGTGAGTAATGTTGGAGTAATACATTTCACGATCGATGCATTAACACTGATCGCCGGTGTCTTAATATCACCAAATACACACTTCATAGTCGAGAATGGTCGTAGATTTGTTCCGTAAACAACGATAGAAGCGCCCCCGATCGCGGCAGTACGATTTGGATATGCTTCAAACAGCATGGGCATCGCAAAAGCTTCGATTTCGAGCGTTTTATCTGACCAAGAGAAGCCATCCTGACTTAATCTGAGTGACATACGTCCAGGTCGAATTGGCGGTGTCATGCATCGTACTTGGAATTCTGATAAAGCCAATCCATCTACCACTATATTGCCAAACAAACACCGAAGAGACTTCGCACCAGAGATGATGTTTAAAGCCGATATGATAGCTGCTGTTCCACCCTTCTCATCAAAATGAAGCGGTGAGATATCAATCGGCTGAATCGCTGGGATCACACGAACACTGTGATGAGTTACTATTTGATGACGAGTGTTTCCAACTAAAGCGAGCGTCAACTCATATACTCCAGTGAAACGTGCATCAAAACTGCACCAGACACTGTCGCCACCATCGCGATACAAGCGAGGCATAGGCTGATTCGAGAATTGACAGCCTATAAATTCTGTCACGTTTAATCCTGATCCAACTACCGTCACATTTGTTAATTTCGTCGTCTGCGATACAATAGAAGGTATAACATCAGTCACGATGGGTCCTGAGCTGTACTCATAGCTAACGTCGACATCGTCTTCAATGTGCGCTAATGTGTTGTACACACGAGCGCTGATCTTCACAACTTCACCCATTTTTCCGGACGGTGCGATGCACTCAACGACAGATGCATTAATTACCCTGGCAGCCACGCTTTTTTCTCCAAATACGCACTCAATTCCTTCGTACTTTCCAAACACACCAGATATAGCCACGATTGTACCGCCTAAGAACGATCCTTGATGGGGTGAAACAGTGGCAATTGACATCCTAGACAGCACCTCGTACACTGCCGATGATTTTGAAAAGTCGACGCCATTATTTGATACCCGCACTACTTTCATTCCCAATTTTGTGAACGGTACAACACACTCAAGTTCCGATGACGATATGAAATCCGTTGCAGGTGCTTTGGCATCGTCAAAAACGCATGTTAAAGTCATCGAATCAACGAAATTGTCGCCGATTACACGAATTTTTCTCTCGGTAGTTTCGGTTTGAATACCTCGAGAAGGGTGAATCTGAAACACTTGTTCGCGTGGAATAGCTTCAAAGTGCACGAAGTTGCTAGAAATTTTGCTACCACCTTCGACAATGAGCTCCAACGTGTGTAATCCAGCTGCTATCGATGGCGTAGTACACAATACTCTTCCTTGATTAATCGTTCTGGGTACCACAGTTATATTTCCATCAAACAAGCATTTGATATCGACCTCCGGAAAAATATTAATGCCTTCGATCTTTACTCGTGTTCCCCCGTCCGCAGGACCAAATGATGGATTTGCTGTAACGATGGAAATCGGAGCAGAGAACTTGAACGGCTGTATCAGCGACTCAATCCCACCGAATGTAATCCACATATCCACGATTGCGGTGTTGTTTGGCATTCTCATTGCTGGAGTTGTGCAAGTTAATCTGTTGCTTGATACCGCCGTCGCTTTTACAATATTCAAATTACCAAAATGACACAGTGGTTGAATGTTGGCTGGGAAACCAGATCCTTCAATTGTGACAAGAGTTCCTCCAACTGTCGTACTCGTGGAGGGTGTAACACGAGAGATAAGCACCGGGCTATGAACCAATATCTGGAAGCTGTTCCTCGAGACTCGCACGCCATTCTGAGATAGAGTGACGTGGCAAAACCCGACAGGAAGAGGAGTAGACAACTTGCACTGGGCGATAGTGCCGGTTGAGAAGGCGATCGCTCCTATCTGAACAGTTTTATGACCACCACTTTCGCAGTGGAAACTGCACTTCGCCAGCTCCGATGCAAACTTAAATGTGCCTTGAATTTCGAACACCGTGTTTGCCATGGGTATTGATACTTGCGGTAGTATCATCGAGATCACGGACAATTCGAGTAACTCAACGTAAGCTCTAGCAATCGTTGTAGCTGAGTTATTGGTCAAAGCCACAATTTTCAATTCAACTATTGTTGAATACATTCTCTTCGGTATGATGGGGACAGCACACGTGACACTTGTACTGCTTTGTGCAACGACAGGTAACGGAGTACTTGTGAGATCTCCAATATAGCAGCCAAGCACCAAGTCGGAGAAGAAATTTGCCCCATTCACCACGATAGATTTCGGCTGGCTGGTGCCAACTACAATGACTGGAGGGGCGAGCGAATTGATTCGCGCTGTTTCAAGAACCTCGAATACGACTCCAGTTAATATCCGTCCTATCACTTCAGAAAATATTGCGACCGAAACCTGCCCTGGAGGATAAGGTGGGGTTCGACATATCGCACTCGATTCGTTAAACACTTCGAGTTGAACGCAGGTAGCGTCAAAACAGCAGGACATATCTGGACTGAAGTGGTGGCCTTTGAATTTAATTGTCGTGCTCCCCTCCAATGAACCTCGGGTAGGAGTAGCCAGTGTGACAAAGGGTAGGGCGACTAATTCAATACCTTCGTCAGCGAAGACTGTACTCACCCCGTTTTGAGTAATTCCAAGCTTATAGTATCCAGCTGAAATAGCGTACGGGATGGTACACACGCTTTCATAAAGAGATTTCCATGTTGCGCTGAAAACAATTCTAGATTCATTCGAACGAGCCGGAAGCAAAACACAGTTGGTTTCATTGCTGTACACGAATGGCCCCCCTCTGATTGAAAAGCTGGTAGATATACCAACAACGCCACGAACCGGTTCAACCGAAGAAATAATAACATCTGGAATATATCGATAGAGAAGTGTGTTACTCCGCTTCATACTGGACCTCGAATGAAGCGAAATGGGTAGCTCTCTTGGATTATCTAAAGCCCACTGAGGTGCCTCACAATTCATACAGGATTGGTTAATAATTCTTCCTTCAACACGGTGTTGCCAATCATCCCAACCAAAAATACAATCGTAAGGTCCATCTATAAAACTGTCTCCGAACACCAAGACAGTCGTCTTTTCTCCGACAGATCCACACGTTGGTGACAATCGAGAAACATGGAGTGGGTGTGTTGCTTCTAACAGCACGGAGGTTTCTGCTGAAAAGTGAACACCATCATTCGAAACTGATACATTCAGCTCTTGTTGAATACGAGTTTGATACGAAAAGCAAATAATTTTGTCCTCTTCCAGCATCCGTGCAGCTACCACTTCAAATCCAATTCGGCACGCCAATGTCTCCTCGCTAGCAAAGTAAGACCCACTAATTGCCAAGCGTATAATTGTTTCATCATCGCTACTGTAACTCGCAAATACACTGACAATATCAGGGATAGCAACATACTCGAACTGGAACATCCCACGGTTCTGTGCTATTCTCTCAGTCGCGTTTCCATCCGAGTATATGAGATCAAATCCTACTCGCTGGTTTGTGAGAGAATTACCGATATGAGTTGGAGTGGTGCACAGTAACCGGTTATCAAACACTGACAGCGGGGTCACGGAGAGATTTCCAAACCTGCATCGCAAGTTTGACGTAAGTAAAAAGTTCTCTCCCTGTACTGAGACAACGTCACCACCGATACGGCTTCCAGTGGTAGGATATATTGTCCACACCTTCGGAGGATCAACGAAAAGAAACCACGATTGTTGCTCGATAACTGCGTCTTCGTTCTCTGCCTTCAATGAGACCGACGCTAGTCCTGTCGCATTCACAAATGGTAAGGTTACTGTCCAGGGCGCTCCCTTGCGTGCTTGGTATACCCGTGTACACCACAGCTCATTGAAACAGCATTTCCAGTTCGAGGGATCAACATTGAATCCGATCATTTCAAGCTGCACAATATCCCCACCTTGCGTTGAACCAGTGCTTGGATGTAGTCGCCACCAAGTGTCTCCATTACTAGTATTGCCTTTGACTAAAACATCTCCGCTTTCACTGAGTTTTCCACTGTTTGGTGACCACAAACTAACTCGTGTAAGTTCACTACCCATGTTCCATGGTGGCAATGCACAAGTCAGCAGCGTTGAGTTCACAACTTGTACCGGTGTTGCCACAGACTTGTCACGAGACTCAAACTCGCAGATAAGATCCAAGCTACTGTCAAAATTGAGGCCGATTAATGCTAGTGATTGGTGGGAGTCCACGTCAGCAGTGGGTGGCAATGGTGCAATTTCTCGTACTTCAGGTGGACGCAGCAAAGTGACATTAAATCCAGTCTCGATCATGTCGTAGCCATTGAGTGTAAGTAGCACTTGTGCGTAAACTGAATTAGCGACGAAATTCTCCATCATCTCATAAGGTTGTGAGCAAGTAACCAGATCTTTTGACAGCCACTGGGCAGGTAACCGAAGATCACCGTCATCAATGCGCAAAATACATGCCAATTCGTCAGAATTCACGAAATAGTCACCATACAGAGAGAGGGTGAAATTCAGCGATAGTAACACCTGCGGCGGGAGGACGTTGGATATACGGGGATTCGGCACGAATCGGAAAGCCGCCTCGGTCGAGTTAACTAGGCCGATATCACTTGTCCCTAGTACGATTTTCAACGTGCTCGGTCCCAGTTCCACAGCAGGCGTAATACATTGTAACACTGAGGCATTTACAATCACTCCAGACGAACATATGTGCTCACCATAGCAGCATCGAAATCCTTCCACGTTTTGAGCATCCATCGGATCACGTGTAACGACGGTAACTAAGGTCCCGCCAGCTGAGCTAGCACTGTTAGGTTGGGCACGCTCAATCATTGGCCTACTTAGACACGAAACGAGGAGAGTTCCGTCCGCAACTAATCCGTCATATCCAGACACAGTGACATCTAGTGTTGTCGTATTCGCGATAAATGGCGGGTGGCATGTTATCTCTGTGTCACTTATAAATGATGCCGGTACTGCTGTCTGATTGAAGAAGCATGCCATTCTCGAGTCATTCGAAAACCCGGTACCCGATACATGTAGCTTCTCCATTCTCCCACACGAGACAAGATTTGGTGCTATAGAATGCACCGTGAAGTTACGAGCAATCCCTAATGGTAGTGCCACGCTCCACTCTTGTCCATTAAGACTTATTGAAATTGTAGCGTTTTGGGTTTCACCAAGTAGATGCGGAGAGATAGGGCATAGCACTTCGGTTGGGGACACCCAAATACCCGCCTCTGCAACAGCGTTTTTTACACGACACTGCCAGAATGAAGATGGCGGAAAATGATCTCCAAACACACGTATCACTCCTTTGAAATTTCTCGGAATCGTCTGTGGAGACAACGCTGTTATCTGAATATCTTGTGCGTATTGAAACTTCCGCTGCATATGGACTCGAAAGTTGTCGTTGACATCCGCCATAGTTAAGCTTGTAAATCCTTGTTCGTGTGCATCTGGAGGTGTGATACACGCTATGTGGGTACTGTTTTGCCACTCCGCTACTACCACGATGTCACCGTTGAAGATGCATGCAAACTTCATTTGCTCACTAAAGTCGTCGCCTTTTATTAGGATCATAGTACCACCCCTGGTAGATCCCATATGCGGCCAGAAAGAGTATATCGAGGGCATTCGTACATATCGAAATATTTGCTCATCACTGTACGCCGATGCAAAAGAATCAACTCCATTTGCGGAGATAGTAATTGGAGCTTCCATCGTGAAATTGGAAACTGGCGACAGACATTCGACGACTAATCCACTAGCTGATCTTTTGATTTTGCCGGCAGTCATACTTCCTCCGAAGGCACACAGATAATTTGTTGATACGGTGCCTACAGGCTCCAACTCCACTCGAACCAGGTTACGTGTCCCAACTATTCCAATGGTAGAGAAGATTGATTTCACCACCAAATCAGGGACAAAATACAGCTCCATTTGATCTACCACAGTGAAGTTGTCGATAGCAACAGAGAAAAGTAATCTGTCTGGTGGCGTGAATACGCCGGGTGGGATACTGCATCCTGCTGCCGTAAGAGACGTAATCAAAGCAGCAGTATTAGCCGAAGATGGTTTATTCCCACTTCGGAACGTACACTCCACATTTCCAGCAGAGAAGAGCCTATCCATCTCGATCCCAATCGTTGTATTTCGAAACACGATCCCATTCGATGGAGAAACTGAAATTGCATCTGAGTACGAATGCACTTCAACCATTACCGCATTTTCAGACATGACAAGGCCTTGGTCATTTACTATACGGAGTGAAACAATATTTTGCGTGTGCGGTGGAGATACACAAGCAATGGAATGCTCTGAAATAATCTCAGCTGGAACAATTGTTGAGCCAAATAAGCAACTTAGGCCTCCCATAACGTGATCGCTTGTGGTCACACGCACTTTGACTCCACCTGAACTGCTAACGCGTGATGGTGTAACGTCATCGATTCCGATGGGAGTAACGAATGTAAACGATGTTGTGCTGTGAACCGAGTGAATTCTGGTTTTCCCAATCTGAATTCCCACAGGCACTGTAAGGGGTTTATATGTTGCTGGACTGCGGCACGACAGAGTAGTGCTGTTTAAAACAGACGCGGGTACGTTGGTTCCTCCAAAGTAGCAGTTTAATTCAGCGAACCCCAGCACGTCCAACAAACGAGTACTATCAGTGACAACCGTCACTTCTGTCTCTCCAGTTATCAAGCCCACAGACGGCGTCACAATCAGAACCTCGATGGGCTCTGTAGCCATGAGTTCAAACACAGCCAAAACACTTGTTTTCGATGATAGAACACTTTCCACTTGCAAAACTTGGTGCGAAAATGAATCATTAGCCAACACGAACGGAACAACACATTCGCCAAAAGTGGGTGATCTCAGTGTCAACCAAGTCCACCCTGCACCCGCAAAATTGCACCGAAGCTTGTGCAAATTCATCATTCCATGGCCTTCGATTGTAATAGGTGGATTCCCTATCCGTAACAGAACGAGTGGATCTGTTGGTGTTATTGACGGAAGTGGAGCGTAGCGAAGCAGATACGGGAACTTAAGAGGTCCATCCGATATATGGCCCGCCTGACTGAGCGATACATCAAGTCCAATCCAAGCACCAGGTTTCGGAATAACAGGAACGCGACATCGAACGACAGAGGAACTCACAAAAGTTGCTGGAACGGCGGTACTTGCCGCTCCATTAGTGAAATGGCACGAAAGTGAACTTATGTTCTGATAATGAGACCCATTCACTGTCAGAATGTCACTACTCCTCATAATGAATGCGGGGTATACACTGGACACGATGGGTGGGGCTACATGAGGACAGACAGTTGGTTAACTTTACTTCTTATACATCACAAGATTATGTAACTTACCGTAAATGCTGAAGTTGTCAGGTGCCTCATACGAACTTCCTTCAAGTACTACAGCAAGGCTTACGGTCAAACCTTCCAGTGTGAGAGTTGTCACGGCAGGAGACAGGCACAGGATCACGCCGGAGGACTTGAAAGATGCCGCCGTGACAATACTCCCATTGAATACGCAGTTGGCTTGTAAATCCAAGAAAAAGTTGGCTCCTGTAACAGCAATAATATCCCCTCCACTCGAACTTCCGTACGGAGGATTGATGGAATAGATTTCCGGTGAATCTAACGATACCAAACTCAATTAGCAAGCCTAGTTATCGCATAAAAAGAATCACAAGTTCCACTTACCTCGATAACTGAACAACACCGACTGCGAAAACTCTTGGCCGTTGGATGTTAACCGAAATTCTACGTCCGTTGTTCCTTTGTCCACCATTGGCGTCTTGCATGAGACTGTGGACGGTGATAAGTACAGTGCTGGAGACAAATTTTTCCCGAACGCACACTGCAATGCAGTATTCCGAGGGAAATTGTTTCCTTTAATCAACACTGTAGTCCCTCCAGTCCGTGGCCCTCCTGATGGTGATGCAGAGGCAATCGTCCAAGTTTCTTCGTACAGAAACGGAATAGGATTCGAGTAATAGTCATTGTTGTTGGTCACCATCACAAATGTTCGATTGGGAAGATCAGCGCTCGCTGGAGGCGTCACACACGTCAGAAGTGTATCAGATTTCACAGTGGCTTGTACGAGCGGACTCCTGCCAAATCGACACCAAAGCGCTTCATCGGGCCATCTCTGGAAGCCTTTTCCCGTCACTGAGACAGTAGTCCCTCCTTCGTTTTTCCCGTGAGATGGAGCTGCATTAGCAATTGACCAAAGCTCGTTCGAACTATTGCTGAGCAGGTTCATCTGGATTGTCGAGTCTTCCACGATCGAAAAATCCGGAGTAGCGCTTAACCGGATGAATATGATCTCGTATCCGTAAAATGACGGAGTTCGACTGAATTTAACCGATTGCAGGATGTCACTAACGTCCGCCACGGCACCACTTAAATTTATCGAGCTCGATGGTTCATCTTTAGAGGGGAATTTTGTTACACCTGCAGGATATGCGCTGCTTGGTCTTGAGAGCTGGATTTCTCCGACAGGCGTCATTGCGAATAATTGCACATATACCAGCTCGTTGCCTGTTGTTTCTCCTAGTAACTTCACGGCATATCCACGAAATGTGATTGTAGACAACTCTAATGGCACTACCTGAGTCGGATCGTCAGAGCTCTGAACCTCAATCAAAATGCTCCTAGACGCATCGGTAATGGTGTTATCCAAGTAATTGAGATCTCGCACGAGTATTCCGAGCCGTTCCGCGTGCTGCATCGAGTTGAAATCTTTGTCAGGTCGATACTTAATCTCAAATAATGCTGAATTGACAGCGCGTAGATCACCACGGAAACGAAGCAGCTGATCTGCTTTTCCATCACCCTCAATAAATTCCACTCCGCTGGTGGAACCGAGAGAGATTACACCACTCAGTACAAATAGCTGCATTTCAAACGTCGAGTTGCTGCGAGCGAAGCCAGGGTCAACATCATGCACCCTGACGCCAAATATACTGATCTGTTGGTCTTCAAGCAAGAACTGAGTACTCGGAACAATGAGCTGTGGTGGATCGTTGACAGACGCTATGCGTATCACAACATAAATTTCATCTGTACTCGCAGCCGTGAATCCTGTCACACCTTGATCCACGACCTTTATATGGAGCTCATCCTCGCCGTACCAGTTCAAATAGCTTCGGTACCACACCCGAGATAAAAATGAGTTGACGCTACTTAGTGCCCCACTGAACAGCAAGTATTCGTTACGATCTCCGTTACCTGAAGCAAACGCGATTCCTGGTGTCGGATCTAGCGATAGTACACCAAATTCCACCGACATTGTGACTGTCACCTCATAGTCAAGTGCCATTTCACTATCCGTATCGCTGATAGAAATATCTACAATTTCCACGGTCTTGTCTTCCTCTCCTGACACAAGAGCTGGCGCGACAATCCTGGGATCGTTATCCCAAGTGTTCACGCTGATAAATATGGATGCGTACGAAGAAATTTGGTCTGTGATGAATGATACTGCTCGCCACTGATTGCCATCAACATTTTTCCACTGCAATCTGGCTGTATGGGTACCGGCAGCGAGGGGTAGCACCATGCTTGCCCTTGCATTTTTTATTCCACGGACATTTCCGTCTACCAGAGACGACATATGCCTGTATGCGACTCCATCAATAACTAACCGAGTTTGAACGCGATCCCACGAATCTTCGGTCCAGCTGCTAAACTGCGGATTGTCACTCTGTGAAAGAGGTAAATTGTAGCTCAACGAGACTTGCGTTGCTTTTGGCAGCGTAAACTGCAGCACAGAGTCTCCTACGTCCGACCATTCCCCCACTGATGTCGGCTTAAATTGTTCCAAATGGTACACAGACATCGAGTCCATGCTCCGGTCTCCTACTGCGGCCAGCACTCGCCCCATAGCAAACCCGTCCAAGGCATTTGGAGACGAATACCAGGGACGACTCGAGCCTAGCAGCGACTTCCAGTACAGCACAGCGCTGTACTCCCCTGGTAACAGGTCCATGATAATACTACCTTGAAGAAGTACTGTCGACTTTCTAGACCCCTCCATAATTCCGTACGACCCTGTTTCTCGATAGCGAAGTCCATTTATCTCGAGAGCCGACTCAATCTCATCGTACGCTGCTGTATCTGTTTTCATTCACCATAATTTACAGTCAGCGAACATGGAACTAACTAAAATAGCAAAACAGCGAATTGAAAACGAACCACGAGAGTATTGCACCAGTTCAGGGCGGACAGGCAACTGATAGAAGAACCGAAACGTGGCCGGTTCCGACAAGCGGAAGTTAATAGCCATGCCGGGCACCGCCTCCCACTTATTTACAGACAGAAGGGAGACTGCGGTGATCGGCTGCTTGTACCAGATGAATCGATGTTGCGCCGACACGGTGAGACTTCGTCCGCCTGCAAACCCATCCAGGATGTCGCTACTTACCGCCCACTTGAGTACGTGCGTGCCGCGCTTCCGCCATTGCAGCTTGACATTATGGTGCCCGTGCGGGATTTCGAGTACCAAGAACCCACTTGCTACTACGACCAATGGCTCTCGGTCGTCAACTGTTGTTGCTGATTGACGGTACGGAGTGTTGTCTACTGCTATCCGGAAGGACAGTTCGCTCAGTTCTGTTACCGGGACACCTTCAGACTGCATATCTGTGACGTGGGAGACCGACACGTCGTACGAGACCATCACGACAGCTTCGTTCTGTAGCTCCATGGCAACACTCGTGTCTGGGACGTCCACCCACTTGTCAATAGGCGACTCTATTACTGCCGGAGTTAGCGGACTCGCACACCACATAAGCTTGGGCGATGCGCTTTGGGCAGCGATGATAGAGATAACCCATGACAGCCACAAGACCAACATAACACGGAGAAGGTGAAGGCTGGGCTCATTCGCCGTGGACATCATAGTGGGCGACTTCTGTAATGCTTCTCTCGCGATGAAAAGCCGCGAATCTTTATTTGTTTTCGGTTAAAAGTACAGGTTCGACAATCGGTCCGTGGAGGTTCCAGCTTGACCTCAGCACGTAATTGATATGCGAAGGAGATACATATACATGCACGAACCGCACCGCCCCGTTGTCACGTACTGTTGACCTCATGATCTCAATGGAGAAAGACAATCTAAGCAAAACAAAACAAATTAATTTTTGAAATAGTGCAAACACTTTTTATTTTAAAAAATGTTGCAATTCAATTTTCAATCTAATAAAGCTAAAATTTGTGCGTGCTTATCGTTATTTTTGTCAGCACATTTTTTCATGACCGTGGATTGGTTAAAAATCTGCCAATCTACCGCGACTAGCGGGCCCCCTTGCCCTGGAATTAACGTACCTGGTGGCACGTCGTTGGGTGGAAGCCACGGACGGACGAAAGGATCGTGGCAGCGCGGACAAAGCAGACGCCGACCCACAGCCACAGTAGCAGTAGCATCTCGAGCATCTCGCTACCATGACCACGTCAGACGGTGAGTCTCCTGCCTCCTCAGCCATCCTCCCCGTGATCCCTCTGACGCGGCGGTTACATTCATTCTGCAGACGAAATGTTTGGGACCGGATCCCCCACTGTCTCCGACTCTGACTCGGACACCGTCAAGGAGGAGAATGTCAGTAGCAAGAAGCGCAAGCTCAGTGGTGGCTCTCGTAGCAAGAGCAAGAGCAAGCAGGCCAAGCGCGCTGCCAATGACGACGATGACGAGAAGGTACGGCAGTTGGCTCTATTTTCCCTCTGTGTTAGAATACCTCTCATTAACAATATTCTTAATGCCAACAGAAGCCCAAGTCAGCGTTCATCGAAGACATGGCGTCCGAGAGTGAAGATGGAGAGGGAGGCGACTCAGACGATGATGACGACGAAGATGAGGACGAAGGAGAGGACCGCAATGAATACGAGAATGATGGGTTCGTGGTGGACGATGAGGGCTCCGACGAGGAAGAGATCGGTAAGCTCATGCCCTTTTAGGACTTATCTACGTGGTTGTAAAAGAGAGTTACACTCACCTCCGCTGCTTCATTGTCGCCAGCTCGCCACCGCCGTCGTCGTCGTAAGAAAGAGAAAAAGCTCAAGCGTCTTAAACAGAAGGTGGAGGAGATCGACGACGAGGATCTCATGCTGGTGCGCGAGAACATGGGCATGGACACAGGTCCGACGCGCAGTGACAGCGAAGATGAAGACATGGGACGCTCGTCCCGTAAGGTGAAGACTGAGGACGACTCTGGACTCATGTCGCGCGAGCTGAGCTACCGTATGTTTGGTGACTCGGACGAGGAAGAAGAGGACTCCGCTCCGCAACGCGCTAACAATTATCTCGGCAACGATGAGTACGAAAGTGACGATATTGACGAGTTTATCGTGGATGACGACGAGGAAGGACGAGAAGGACCACGACGCCGCAGGAAACAGGAACCTATCCCGGCATCCATGCAGGGACCGTCGGTGTATCAGATGGGTGAAGCTGAGGAACTTTTCGGAGACATGGACGGATTTTTAGAGGCTACGAGTGGAAAAATTCCCGAGGAAATGCCTGCAAAGTCGAAGAAGGCCATCTTGCTGGAGAAATTCGAGCCCAGTGTGCTGAAGGAGCACATGATGACCTCGGACGTTGTCGCTGTGCGTGACAAGGACCTACCAGAACGATACCAGTATCTCTTTAAAAACCGCGAGTTCCCGGATGCAGAGGACCGTGCCGAGGAGTCTGAGTGGATCAGTGATTTTATAATCAAGAACCTCGAGCGAAGGGGTCAGCGTAGTTCCGCTGCTTCACGTGGTGAGATCGTGTCAGCCATTGACACTGTATTGCGCTTTTACCATGACGAGAAGCTCGAACCCGCGTTCGTCCAGCGTTACTACAAGGAATATTGGAAAGTGGTGGGTCTGCACACAGAAAATCTGTATGAGATTCTGGACCTTGACGTGAAGTGGGACAAGCTGAATCGTAAGCGGAAGTCGTTCCAGAGCGGTATCCAGCGTGTGGTCGACTCCTCGAACGCTAAGGAATCGGCGTTTGTTCGCAAGTGTTATGAGCAACTATTTAGCACACCTGATGAGAAGATATACAAGGATTTGTCGGAATTCTTTGGACTGGACGCGCTGGAATCGAGCGGACAGAGCAAGGAGAACTCTGACAAGAAATACCGCCGCCCAGTCCGTCGCACGTTCTATCAGATCTGCACGAAGGCAGGTTTACGTCCGGTGTCTCTGGCGTTTACGATGAACTCATCTGTGCTGGGTGGTATTGTGGCTGGTGTGGATCACGAAGACACTATTCGTGACGTTCCGACCCCAGACGAGAGTCCTGGTGTGCTTGCTCAGAAATACACGACCAAGGAATTCCCGACAGTGGATGATGTGATGAAGGGAGCCCGCCACATTGCTGCCAGTAAGGTTGCGGCTGAGCCCAACGTCCGAAAGTGCATCCGTGAGCTCTATCGTCAGAACGCGGTTCTGAGCACAGAGGCAACTGCCAAGGGCCGTGAAGAAATTGACGAGTTCCACTACTGTCACGGCCTGCAGTATATTGAGAAGATGCCGGTCCTCGACGTGTTTGAGGCGGGCGATTTGTGGCTTAAGATTTCTCGAGCTGAAAAGGAAGGACTACTGACTACCACAATCATTAACGAGAAGGTTCAGGATTTGATGGATCCGCTGGAGCCGATCTATCTGTCACCCAACAACGACTCGGACGAGGAGTGGCAAAGCCAACGCCACCTTGTTCTTCAGGAGGCGATCAACAGCTTCATGATCTTGTCGTTTGAAAACGAGCTGAAACGTGATTTGACAGTGGCGTCTCGCGATGTGGTCGTGAAGATGTGCGGAAACGCGCTACGAGAGCGTTTGTCTGTTCGTCCTTATGAGCCTTCCGAAGGCGTGGATCCGTTTATCGTTTCGATTTGGGTTGAAAGCAGTATGGATTCGATCGCACACATCGTGGCTCTCGATGTAAACGGAGAAATGGTAGACAAGACGGAAGGCTACTGCAAGCGAGATGTGAACAACATTGAGAAGCTCTCTGCTACACTGCTGAAGTTCCTGACGGAACACTCACAAACGCATGTCGTTGTGATCAATGTTTCGGCCGGTATGAAGTGTATGGACATGGGTGGAGTGGTTGATGAGGTACGTCGCCTGTTGGGTCGAGATGACGCTTCTCGCTTTGGAAACGGAGATGGACACGACTTCCTGGATATTGTGTTCTTGAAAGATGATGTCGCGAACATGTTTAGCCGTTCTAAACGCGCAGATCAGGAATTCCCGGAGGAATCCGAGTATGTACGTGCTGCTATTTGTCTCGGACGCTACCTGAGGAATCCTGCGTCTGAGCTGTGTGCAATGTGGGGAAATGTTGCATTGAATGAACCAAATCGCGGTCGCGAGCTGCTGTTCTTGAACGTACATATGATGCAGCACTCCCTTGTGAAGGACCTTCTTCTGAGGGAGTATGATCGCGTGTTTGTCCAAGTGATTAACAAGTATGGCGTTGACATCAACCTGCTTGCCAATCACAAACACACATCGTACCAACTGCAGTTCATTTGTGGCCTGGGTCCGGTGAAGGCAGCGTCGGTATTGGATAAGGTTCGTGCAAAGAATTACGTGGAGCGACGGCAGGAGTTGTTATCGAAGGGTTTTGTGGGGAAAATTGTGTACCGCAACTGTGCTGGTTTCATCCGTATCCGCGAGCGTGATGCGCTGCGTGAAGCCCCTTTGAACCCCCTGGATGATACCCGTATCCACCCCGAGAGCTACTACATGGCGGTGAAGATTTGTGGTGACGCCAACAACAACTCAACCATCGATATGTACGACCCCAATCACTATTCGTACGCGGTTGAAGATACCATGTACCAGTCAGCGTCTGCGATTCGAAGCCGGAATGCTCCTCCTAATACTCGGCTTGGTGATGCGGAAATTCAAGATGTGCTGTCCGAGCTGGACCTGTCAGCTTATGCTGGTCGTTTAGAGCTACAAAAGAAGGGGCCAAAGCTGCTGACGCTTGAGTACATTAAGCGGGAGCTGCGTTACCCTTACTTTGACAAGCGTGCAAAATACCAGGTACCCAAGAATGAAGATCTGTTCTTCTTGCTGAACGGCGAAACGCGGGAGACCCTGCGCATCGGAATGATTGTGCCCGCTACGCTGCTGCACATGTCGGGCGATGACTTTGTTCGTGTTCGCTTGCAGAGTGGCATGCGCTCCAGTTTGCATCGTGATCGATTGCCAGACTACTTGATGGACGTGCGCCCACAGAGTTTCCCGAAGGGTATTACGGTTAACGCTAAGATTCTGGCAATCCAGGCGGATCGTGAAGGTCGCTATGAGCTGCAGCTTGGTTGCAACCGCCGCTCGTTGATCGACATGTCGATGTGCTTCTATCCAGAGCGGTTCCCTCGGTACACGAACGGGAAGTTAGTTGAGAATGACAGTATGGAGCGCGTGGACCGCCTTGTGAACGAGCCCCCTGTTGAAGAAGACAAGACGACGTTTACCCAGGCTACTCGTGTTCCAGGCGCCCATACGTCAAGACGTAAGAAGCGACAGATTGCTCACCCCTTGTTCCGCAACATCAACTGTCAAACGGCGATGCAGTGTTTGCGCGAACAGCCCGTGGGAGAAGTGGTTATTCGTCCCAGCACGCTGGGTACTGATCATCTTACGCTAACGTGGAAGATGCTGGATGGTGTGTACCGTCACTTCGACATCCAGGAAAAAGACAAACCTTCGGAAGCTCGCATTGGTCAGACGCTGATTATCAAGGAAGAGAAGTACGAAAACATTGACGAGCTGATTGCTCGCTTTGTGGACCCCATGAACAGCTTAGTGGACGATGTGGTGCGCTACAAATACTACAAGAACGCGCCGAAGGAGAGCGTCGAAGAGGACTTGATCAAGCAGAAGAAGGAGCACCCGTCGCGTATCCCGTACGCTCTTCACGTGTACAGCAAGTTCCCGGGTTGCTTCTCAATCACGTATATCGCTCGTGAAACGCCCCGCAGTTGCCACATGGAGGTCAAGTCGGGAGGTTACCGGTTCTTTGGCCGTATTGAATCATCCATCCTACCGACGCTGTCGCAAGCGCTGCAGTTTTTCAAGATGAAGGCGCTTGTTGCTCCGTCGTCGAATTCTTCGCGTCCCGACTCCTACCACCAACACGATAGCAGCAGCGGACCGTTCGCTCAGCGTTCGAGCGCGCCTTATTCGGGAAGTGGTAGTCGTCCCCGGCAGAGCTCGCGTTGGGATGATCGTCGTGGTGGCGATGCTGGCGGTCGACGTTGGTAAGTGCTTCTGCAACATACACTAGGAACGCGTAGTATTCATTCGATTTCAGTCGCTCACCAATGCGCCGTAGTCAACCTCGAAGTGGAAGACCAGACAGTACAAAATCACGAGCAGATTGCTTCGTGGTAGACAACAAAAGCCAAGCACATTCAGAAAAATAAAATAAAAAGTCTGTATAGCGGGTCGAGCATTGTGTACATACCAATTCTAACCCTCACGGTACTGTACATGCTTGTTTACCGTAAGCTGCTAGGTACCGTAAGGGTTACTCATTGTCCGTCTCCTTTACAGAGCAGGATAGGCTGACGACGAAATAATGATCCCGCCATGATCCGCATACTAGTATACTGTACCCACGCCGATGTCACGAAGAGCAGTTGACATTAGAATTAAGGCTGAAGCCCGGTGACGGAACAGTGGCTGGTGTATGTAGATTAGATCGCGACTCGAGACTATAATACATGTACTACGGGACGGCTGTCGATTCACACATCAATCGACGAATCACCTCGATTGACAACGTCCATTCTCCAATCCCAATCTGGGATCCCCGAACAGCGAAATTAATCCGGATGGGGGGACAACTTGCTGCAAGGCCACCGTATTACGTCACGTAATTTACGTGTCTGGCTTGATCATTGCAATGCGCATTGCCAATGGTTCATTGTTCAATTTGCAGACATACAAGCATAGCCCCTCCTATCAATCCGGAACAAGATGAAGTTTGCTGCCGGCCTCGCCCTCGCGGCCATCGCTGTCACCATTGTCCACGCCGGCAACCCGTCCATGATGAAGAATTTGCCCGCCGAGTCGGACTCGGCTGACTCATCGGAGTCAGGCGATTTCGGCACGTCTTGCAACTTTGCTTGCCTTGCTGTGATGAGGCCTGTGACGGACGAGAACGGCGTCACGTACTCGAACGAGTGTGTGATGCGCCGAGCCAAGTGCAAGGGAAATGGGAAGAAAACTGATCCTCTGGAAGAGTACAAGCGTATCTACGGCAAGGAGTTTGGAGCCCCGCGCGATGACGACGATAATGGAGATGAATCCCCCAGCGAGGAGGATTCCTTTGTCCAGGGCGAAGCCTCTGACGAGGACGAATCAGCATCCGACGAAGCCTCTGCTGAAGGCACCCCCAAGTCGTTCTGCCCCAACATCTTGTGTCCTGCCGTCTACTCGCCCGTGACTGACGAGAACGGTGTGACGTACCCGAATAAGTGCTCTATGGAGGCTGCCAAGTGCAAGGGTCCCAGGGAAAACCCCTTGGACGAATACAAGCGGATCTACGGTAAGGAGTTTGGTGCCCCCCGTGAAGATGAGTCCGGAGATGATGAAGACGAGTCTACTAGCGAGGACAGCGGCAGCTCGTCGACGCCAACCAAAATGGTGAAGGGTACCAAGGACTCCGGTAAGGCGAAGAAGTCGACTAAGACGTCCACTGCCAGCTCCAGCGGCATTGGCCAGCTATACGAGGACGGCTCGGACGGTGTCATTGATGATGACAATTCGACGCCTACTAGCAAGAAATGTGCGAGTGCCTGCCCCGACGTTGTATTGCGTGTTTGCGGATCTGACGGTGTCTGGTACTCGAACCCATGCGAACTGAAGATTGCTGCTTGTAAAAACCCGGAGCAGAACATCGTGGAGGACGATAGCGCCTGCAGCTTGAAAAAGATGGGTAAGATTGGCATCCTGCCTGTTGTGTAACTTTTAGTTTGGTGGCAGCATCCAGTCCAAAGTACATGTGTGTGGATTCAAACCTCCAAAACTTCTCTTACTACTATTTGTAGTAGTAGTATTGTATCAGCACTGGATATTGTCCTCAGTAGGGAGAGTTCTGTACTTCTACATGTAGTTCTGTACTAGAAGTACAGAATTCGCCCTTCTACAATTTCAAAGTACTCGATTTGGAGCATCTCTTGTGATAAAGCATTCAAGATACAGGGTAGTAATCCCTAGAAATGGAATACTCCCTCAATAGCAATAAATTTGCTTGACCAGTCACTTACAAACCCAAGATATTATTCCCTCTCACCCCTCAATCGTAAAATGGAACACATTTGAAGTCAAATATTCCTATTCTGTGGTGCTTAACTATGGAAAAGTCATAACTGCACAAGAGAATTGTTGCTGCCACGACACCGATGATGCCTATTTTGACTACTTTGGAGGTGATTCGAGCTTTAGGATCACGGAGAAGTGCTCAGTGTTCACTCTAATTGCTCACCTGTGACGGCAACACCCTCTTCTGAAGAGTCTTCACCCCACGAAACCCAACTGGCAAGTACCTGGTCGGGTGTAGACTGGCGCAAGCGATTTGGTGGCCAACTGCGAGACCGGAAGTGAGCCCAGTGCTGTTCAGCGTATCAATAGCTTCCAAGATCGTAGAATCTGTGAAGCTATTGATACGCTGAACAGCACTGGGCAATAGGAGAATCGCCAGTAACGAGCTACATCAGTCATCTCCATCGTTCGTGGATAGGAATACACTTAGACAGGAATACATTCGCGGCTCCCAAAGCTATAAGGCATCGTCTGTACTAAGATAATGCAATCAGGTACAAGTGTCACACTTGCTTAAATTAAAGATAAACGATTGCGAATTGTATTATTGTGCCTTTCCAAATTTTGGCCAATCTGACCTTTAAAGGCTGGTCCTAAGCAAGGGTGGGTAGGGCTAAAGGTGGGATTTGAGGACGAACTGGAGTTGAATTGCTAAGCCAGGTCACAAAATAAATTGATATTTGACCAATAACACTGTTTGCTTTTGCCGACTATGATCCAATAATATTTGATTGTGGAGGTCCTACCTAAGGGCTCCGATTTGGTCTAAAGGGTACCTTTTAACAAATTAAGGGCTGAATGACCAGTATTTGCCGGCCATTTACCCTTACGTAAGGGATCCACAACAGATTGATTTTAAATCAAATATGGGCTATTCATCAGACATACGCTGGCGAGGCATTGTCTTGCAGTATGTATACAATATTGAGATCAGCGTAGTTGCCGGTGTACTGCCAGAAGCCTTCGGAGATGGTACCATCTCTTCAAGACAACAGGAAATGTCGACGACACCCCAAAGAATGAGCGGTCACCTAAATAAATGGCCGATTGAAGTGCAACAATTTGTTCGTGAGTATGTAAAGCAACACCCCTTTTCTTTGATTGGCATCGTCTTTTTTTTCGTCAAAGGGTTAGGCTAAATTTTAGTCGGAAGCACACGATCAGATAGGAGGTCTTCCGTCAGGGCCACCCTCCTACGTAGGACCATAAAACTGAGGGCGTTTTGGCAGAAAGGCACAATAATTGAACAAGTCTGGACCAGATTATTTGGGAACTTATTTACAATTAACAAGATAAAACCAATATTGGGCTAAACTAGATACACTCGCGCAATTAGTCTGGACCAGACTAATTGAAAATCTGAACTAATTCGGTCTAGACTAATTACACTTCTTACTCTAGCGGGATTTCAATTATCAAATCCGGGGCCCCACCAACCTCATTAGCACTTGACATATTCAAGCTATCCATGTAAAAATACACAAGAAGTAGGCTAGATTCGCAACCGCGCGCATAAAAACTAATGGAGTAATGGCCAAATGAAAAAGTCACGCCATTGCCCAAGTCAACAGAGATTCTAGCAAATCACCATTTTGCATCTCACACAAGACGAAAACGCTGGCAGAGTCGGCTGAGGCGTTTCCGAGGGTTGGGGATGACATTCCTACGTGGGCTGTTATAAGGTGGCGATTGCGTGCGTGGTGCATGCACAGGGCAAGATGTGTCAAGGATCACATCGTCATACCTCATGGTATAAATAAAAACTCTCAAAATGAATATAGGAGTAATTACATACGTGGGTTAATTCCTGTAAAAAGACCCAAGTCTAACTGGTGGTCCCAAGACCTGCCACGCGATCTATGTCTTAACTCTAAATCTCACTTACTCTTTTGCTACTTGCTACTCAAGACGACTTCTTTCTCTTCTCCTGTGTTCCCCCTACTCCTGTGAAGCGCGTAAGATGAATCGACAAGATGTCACTGCAGACCTTTGGGATGTGTCAAGTGGTGTGGCACTGTGTACGGCAAGGTCGAACATAAGACTGTGAGGTGGTGACTGAAGAATAGAAGGAAGCTAACAAAACAATCTCATTTTATCTTTGACCTTCTACTACCAACAACATTTCACAAGTGACCTGCCGGTCGGAGAGCTGCACATTTAATAGCGTATGGGTCAAATGAACGGCGCCACGGACAAGACCGCCCGCACGACGCTCCTGTGAAGACGCTGTTTTCCGCGCCCAATCGACGAAGAGAAGAACACCACCGTCGCTCGCGAAAGGGGCGACGGCATCAAACAAACGGCTGATACCGGAGACGTCGAAACACCAAAACTACTGACGCCCATGCGTAGCTTTGCGGGGCGCCTTGAGGGGCTGGAGAAGTCACAGTCCAAGTTCGAGGAGAATTTGGACGCTGAGGGCAACAAGCGCGGGGGAAAGAGCAAAAGCTACGACGCTCCGATGACGCCTACCGTGAATTCGAGTTGTTCGCAATCAGGAACTCGGATACGGTGCACATGCATATTGACTCTCTTGCGGGTTCGCTGCGGACACAGCTGACGATAACTTCGAGGTGATTGACAACCGTCGCAGTACTTCAGGTAGCACCAGCCTGGCTACGCAATACCGCTGTCCGACATACAGCGTCTGTATGTGGCTGCGCAGGCAGCGCAGCTTTGCAGTCACAGCCACCAGCACAGCAAGGAGACAACACCAAAGCCACGTGCAAGCCCGCTATCCGGACGTGCGGCAGAAGAATCTAGCGACCTGTCCTTTTGGCGGGAAAGCGTTGTATGCTGGCCTCGGCGCCAGCTTCCTCGAGTGAGGACGTCGTTTAGAGCGGCAAGTAACACGCAGTCATTCCGCCTGTGGGATGAAATGGTCTGAGGATGTTAAGGTGGATATGTTAGGCTACTACGCCGCTGGAATGGCTGAGTGTTACGACAACAAGCAAATGGGGCTCTGGTGGTCCCACTCCCTACCCTGTAGATCGACTTCAGGCGACCCCAGGGCAGGTATTCGCGCTTCTACTCGTTACTGAACCTGACCTCGTACTTCGCGGGTGTGCAGGGCGCGACGGTTGGCAGCGAAATGAAGTGAATTACGCGAACGACTCCTCCGCCATCGTCTAACATCTACGACAGTTTGTTACTGCCTTTTACCTTACAATACTACCCGGCGTGAAATTGTGTACTCTCCAGTAGCTTTTTATTTGAATGCAGGGGGATATTACCAGGTGGGGGTGTGCACATGGATTGCCACGATACGGCAGATCAATACGGTTGGGACTGGGGATGTGTTTCTGGAAAATGGCTCTGGTTTCAAAAAATGTTGTGGCTCAATTTGTACTTTCGACTGGTATTCAAACGAGCTTTGACATTGAAACACGACGTGGTCTAGTAGATCGCTGCAATTGAATACTGAACGAATACGTAGTGAGGTAGTCGAGGTTGCAAAATATTGAGCTTTATGCTGACGATGTGGAGCAGATTGACCTGCCGACAACAGCCACGATCGTGTTCACAAACATTTTGCGCATTGATTCTTCAGTGACGAGCTCTCACGTAAGCCGGATGTCTGAGTTGCTGTACTCGTCAGTGTGATTTGTTCAAGACATATTTCTACATGTACGAAGAAATTCTGTAGTCGTTGAAAACTACAGACACGCGTATGACTAAATCACACGACACTCAAATTTACTGGCTCACAGCCACACTCGCAGACCGACAGCCAGGCTTGGAGATCAGTCTTTACTTTTTTAA